TGATGTCATAGTCCTATCATCTCTATGTTGAAGTCACATTCGAAAGGATAAATATCTAAGTGTGTTAAAAGGTAAGTCTTCAAATGACTTTTTTTTTTAAATTTTGCTTTACAAGTGTTACATTCAAAATGATAAATATTCGAGTATGTTGATTTGTGACTCTTCAAATCCGATTTATGTATAAATTTTACTTTGCAAGTGTCACATTCAAGAGGTTGAATATCCAAATGCATTATCATGTGACTCTTCAAATTCCCTTTTCGTTTAAATTTTACTTGAATCTCTTCATTATCCTGTCATAATCCATATTAAGATATACTCCCATTTATATGGGTGATAGTGAGGAGATGGTCAGGAGTAAAAACCATGACAGAACCCCAGTCTCTTCAAAATATTGGTAGTTATCGATATCAGATGATGATTTTCATGAATACTGGAAATGGAAAGGTAGTTTCTGATGTCATAGTCCTATCATCTCTATGTTGAAGTCACATTCGAAAGGATAAATATCTAAGTGTGTTAAAAGGTAAGTCTTCAAATGACTTTTTTTTTTAAATTTTGCTTTACAAGTGTTACATTCAAAATGATAAATATTCGAGTATGTTGATTTGTGACTCTTCAAATCCGATTTATGTATAAATTTTACTTTGCAAGTGTCACATTCAAGAGGTTGAATATCCAAATGCATTATCATGTGACTCTTCAAATTCCCTTTTCGTTTAAATTTTACTTGAATCTCTTCATTATCCTGTTATTATCCATGTTAAGATATACTCCCATTTATATGGGTGATAGTGAGGAGATGGTCAGGAGTAAAAACCATGTCAGAACCTCAGTCTCTTCAAAATATTGGTAGTTATCGATATCAGATGATGATTTTCATGAATACTGGAGATGGAAAGGTAGTTACTAATGTCATAATCCTATTATCTCTATGTTGAGGTCACATTCGAAAGGATAAATGTCTAAGTGTGTTAATAGGTGAGTCTTCAAATGACTTTTTTTTTAAATTTTGCTTTACAAGTGTTGCATTCAAAATGATAAATATTCGAGTATGTTGATTTGTGACTCTTCAAATCCGATTTTTTGTATAAATTTTACTTTGCAAGTGTCACATTCAAGAGCTTGAATATCCAAATACATCATGTGACTCTTTAAATTCCCTTTTCGTTTAAATTTTACTTGAATCTCTTCATTATCCTGTTATTATCCATGTTAAGATATACTCCCATTTATATAAGTGATAGTGAAGAGATGGTCAGGAGTAAAAACCATGTCAGAACCTCAGTCTCTTCAAAATATTGCTAGTTATCGATATCAGATGATGATTTTCATGAATACTGAAGATGGAAAGGTAGTTACTGATGTCATAGTCCTATCATCTCTATGTTGAGGTCACATTCGAAAGGATAAATGTCTAAGTGTGTTAATAGGTGAGTCTTCAAATGACTTTTTTTTTAAATTTTGCTTTACAAGTGTTGCATTCAAAATGATAAATATTCGAGTATGTTGATTTGTGACTCTTCAAATCCGATTTTTGTATAAATTTTACTTTGCAAGTGTCACATTCAAGAGCTTGAATATCCAAATACATCATGTGACTCTTTAAATTCCCTTTTCGTTTAAATTTTACTTGAATCTCTTCATTATCCTGTTATTATCCATGTTAAGATATACTCCCATTTATATAAGTGATAGTGAAGAGATGGTCAGGAGTAAAAACCATGTCAGAACCTCAGTCTCTTCAAAATATTGGTAGTTATCGATATCAGATGATGATTTTCATGAATACTGGAGATGGAAAGGTAGTTACTTATGTCATAGTCCTATTATCTCTATGTTGAGGTCACATTCGAAAGGATAAATATCTAAGTGTGTTAATAGGTGAGTCTTCAAATGACTTTTTTTCTTAAATTTTGCTTTACAAGTGTTACATTCAAAAATATTTGAGTGTGTTGATTTGTGACTCTCCAAATCCGATTTTCGTATAAATTTTACTTTGCAAGTGTCACATTTTTTATTTCTGTTTCTACTTAAAATGGGCATTTGGAATTGATGTCAGGGTTGTTTTCCACTAATTTTGACCCTCTTTCTCGATTAATCTACCATTACGAAATATATGAAAATAGTCATAAATTAATATCCTATATGTACGCAATAATCTCAATTTTTAATTATGGTGCCCTTTTGCCCGTTCTGATTTTATATTACTTTGGGATTTTGAATTAACATAATAAAATCTTCATTATGTGAAAATTTCAGCTTGTAACTCCAACGCGCCCACAAAAGTTAAAATATGTTAAAAGGAGCACTCTACTATATGGGTTTATAAGTAAAAAACATTTATTTTGGCAAGATCTATCATCCTTTAATTTTTGGCACAATAGTTTCGGAACACCCTGTATAATGGAAACTGCATAGGTACTGTAGCAGATGGTTTTCACAGGGAATTAAATTGTTCCTGCATTTTATAACTTAAAAAAAACCAATGTGAAGTTTCCTGACAAATGTTATCTAGTCCAGGAGGTGGCGCCAAAAACATGCAAGAGTTTTCGCAAGGCGGATATTTTCAAAATAGGTCGTACTTTAGTGTTAGAATGCTAGTGTACAGTCAGCACTCACAGTTCCGGGACAGCTGGCTCTGGACGCGGGCAAAGTTGTAATTTTAAGAAGCATCTAAACTGTTTTCTCAAAGCTCAAAATTTATAGAAATTTTGCACTTTATCTGTTTGAAGGTCACAGATAACGTATGTAAATCGTCAGACGTCTAGTTCGTTGCAAAAAGGGGGTCAGACGTCCTCAAAAGTTTTTATTTTATGGCATTTTCTTCAAATATATTTGTCAAATACCTGTAAAAATATATTTTGACAAGACACCGAAGAAAATGCCATAAAATAAAAACTTTGAGGACGTCTGACCCCCTTTTTTGCAACGAACTAGACGTCTGACGATTTACATACGTTATCTGTGACCTTCAAACAGATAATGTGCAAAATTTCTATAAATTTTGAGCTTTGAGAAAACAGTTTAGATGCTTCTTAAAATTACAACTTTGCCCGCGTCCCAGAGCCAGCTGTCCCGGAACTGTGAGTGCTGACTGTACACTAGCATTCTAACACTAAAGTACGACCTATTTTGAAAATATCCGCCTTGCGAAAACTCTTGCATGTTTTTGACGCCAGCTCCCCAACTAATCTAGTTGGGGAGCTGGCGTCAAAAACATGCAAGAGTTTTCGCAAGGCTGATATTTTCAAAATAGGTCGTACTTTAGTGCTAGAATGCTAGTGTACAGTCAGCACTCACGGTTCCGGGACAGCTGGCTCTGGGACGCGGGTAAAGTTGTAATTTTAAGAAGCATCTAAACTGTTTTCTCAAAGCTCAAAATTTATAGAAATTTTGCACTTTATCTGTTTGAAGGTCACAGATAACGTATGTAAATCGTCAGACGTCTAGTTCGTTGCAAAAAGGGGGTCAGACGTCCTCAAAGTTTTTATTTAATGGCATTTTCTTCGGTGTCCTGTCAAAATATATTTTTTGCAGGTATTTGACAAATATATTTGAAGAAAATGCCATAAAATAAAAACTTTGAGGACGTCTGACCCCCTTTTGCAACGAACTAGACGTCTAACGATTTACATACGTTATCTGTGACCTTCAAACAGATAAAGTGCAAAATTTCTATAAATTTTGAGCTTTGAGAAAACAGTTTAGATGCTTCTTAAAATTACAACTTTGCCCGCGTCCCAGAGCCAGCTGTCCCGGAACCGTGAGTGCTGACTGTACACTAGCATTCTAGCACTAAAGTACGACCTATTTTGAAAATATCAGCCTTGCGAAAACTCTTGCATGTTTTTGACGCCACCTCCTGGACTAATCTGGCAAAATGCCGAAGATACCCGAAGGATCAGTGGCGTCGGTAATGAATTTTTTTATTACATATGCGTTTATTATTATTCCAATATTATTAGGTTTACTCGTTATTAGGGCTAGTGATTTATTCACAAGTGTATTGCTGTGAAGGTCCATTTCATTATTCTGCTCAATATACATAATAATAATTTCTACTCACTATAGGTACTCTGTTTTTCAATCCCTAGAGTACAAGAATCAGTTAATAGGTATCTCAATTGTACAAGAATCAAGAAGGATCGTAAAGTACTGAGGATATTGAAATCAGTAATGAATTTACTATTCTTGTTTCACTTACAGTTTCCAAATAGAATTCTATAGAAGTTTCTAGAATTTTCTACTCTAGTCAGCTTGTTTTTCGATGCCGAAATCAATAATAAAGTCACTATTTCTGTGTCACTTACAGTTTCCAAATAGTTCAAGAAAAGTTCACTGCCTGTTCTCACACATTTTATTAAATGATCCTACTTGAAATGTAGATAGGTATATACACGACAAATGTCGAATTGAAACTGAAAATTAAAAACTAAACTTATAATAGAATTCCCAGAAAAAGCGCGCAGCCTGTCGTAAATTAAGAACCGGGAATTCCCAAAAATTGAATTTTGAAGCCACTCAAATGCTGGAAGAAATTAAAAAGTTGAATTTTAAACAGAGAACCATGTCAAATTAAGCCAATCAAGAGCCGGCAATAATTGAAAATTGAATTTCAAAGCAAATCAAGTGCCAGGAGTTATCAAAAATTGAATTTTAACACCAATCAAATGCCGAAAACCTAAAATGGGTTTGAAACTGTTTTAAAATCCAAATTATGATACAATAATTATTGTAGAAACGATTTTCATTTGTATATAATACAACTAACGCTATTTTAGAATATATATTATACAAAATAGAAAGTGCAAGTAAATGTGTAATATCGCCGGCATCAGTGGCGCTTTATTGATCTATTCAGGGCTTTTCGATTCGAGAATTTATTCGCCCCGGGAATTAAATAAAACTATACATTTTCCTTTTGCAGTAAAGTCATCTTTGACTCAAAATATTTTAAAATAAACTTACCTCTCTTATGATAATCTGGATTGTTCTAGAACAAAGTCAATACGCAGCCGCAGACTCCAATAGTCCAGCAACCACCAAAACCTTTGTACCTTGTAAAGTGTGCGGCGACAAGGCTTCCGGGTACCATTACGGAGTCACTTCTTGCGAAGGCTGCAAAGTAAATAACAATTCAATAAATGAATTTTACCTACTACAATAATGTTTTTCCTTATAGGGTTTTTTCAGAAGAAGCATTCAAAAACAAATCGAGTATAGGTGCCTCAGAGACGGCAAATGTCTAGTAATAAGACTAAACCGCAATCGATGTCAGTATTGTCGATTCAAGAAATGTTTAGCTGTAGGAATGTCTAGGGATTGTATGTATAAATCTATAAATCAAGCTTTTTCTAAACTAGTATTTTTTGTAGCTGTCCGATACGGACGCGTCCCGAAACGATCCAGAGAACGTAGCGTCGAAGACAATCCAACAAACGTTGCAAGTCCAACCACCGAAGCGATGTCGCCAACTTCAGCAACAACTCAAACCCCACCTGAAACCGATAGCAAACAACACTATGATATTATTTTAGGAATTTCCCAAGCCCATCACGCTAACTGCAACTACACAGAAGAGCGGATGCGTAATATTGCGAAGCGCAGCCTGGTACCGCCTCCTCATGATCCGGACGACGATCCCGAAGAAAACATGGTCGAGTCTTCGACGCAAGAATCAACCGAAAACCCTAGGGGGTGGTTTTGGCAACAGTTTGCCGCCTCGATTACTCCTAGTGTTCAAAGGGTTGTAGAGTTTGCCAAACGAATACCGGGTTTTGGGGATTTAGGGCAAGACGATCAATTGATTTTGATTAAGTTGGGGTTTTTTGAAGTGTGGCTCAGTCATATTGCGCGCTTCACTACTGCGCAAGGGATGGTTTTCGATGATGGGACTCAGGTTACTAAGCAGGAATTGGAAATCATGTACGATGTATGTATTTGATTAATTTGTATTCAATTTAATGTAGAAATTAAAATTACAGGCCGAATTCATTTCGTCAGTGGTTCAGTTTGCCAATACATTCAACGCAATGGCTCTTAATGATACCGAAGTAGGGCTGTTTTCTGCCATTGTGCTATTGACTGCTGATAGGCCTGGAGTGACAGATGTTAAGTCCATAGAGCATCACAAAGATAAGCTTATTGATGCCCTTAAAGTACAGGTAATGATTGGAATGTTTTTGCAATTGTTGCAGCTCCATTACTTAAGGTACCCAATGCACTAAGTCCAGCAATTATTTTTAACGGTTCTGTAATTTTGTTCTATAATGTATTTTTTTAATAAGCTGGTTTAATCAATCATACTCTACCAATTTTAATGCCCTAAATCTTAGAGCAAGTAAAGCGCTGTCCTACGGACATAAGGAGTAGGAACGCGCCATTCTGCTATGAAACTAAAGTGAAGCCAGTTTTTGGCAGGTGTTTGTACACTAAACGACAGGTAAAGCATTGAATTTCCTATACCGCCATTATTTTGGATCTCAAAAACCGGCTTCAAATTCCAACTTCATGTTCCTACTCCTCTCACCTAGGAAATTACCTGCTCTAAGCCCTAAATCCTTTGGAAAGTATGTATGAATCACCTGCAATAGATGATGAAGTGAAAGTTTGATTCAGGGCCGTAGCCAGGGGGGGCAATGCCCTATTTTTCAAATGATCATGCCCTACCTTTAATACACAACATGCGTTAAGGTTTTTCTAGGAAATTAAAGAGTAGATTGAATAGGCCTGAAATCGAGTAAGTGCGAGGATGAGTGTTTCCGAAAACTCCTAAATGTATGCAATAATGTTTGACGTTCAACGTTTACACAGAGGAAGTGTTTGGTTTCAAAAGAGTGCAAGGATAATACGATAATGCACACTACTACACAGCATTGCTTATTGGTCTCGGTCATATGGTGTAGCACCATTGACGACATCATCAAATACGTCATCAGCTGTTTACGCCAACGATCGTAGTTTAGAATATACATTTTAGATGAAAAATGTCATTTAATTTTGATTAACATAATAGGCAAAGAAGAAGATCTAAAAAAGCGTTGTTAATTATTAATGTACTAAAACCAAGTAGGTATGCATAAAGCAAAAGCCCGCGGAATCACAACCTGTGGTGCAAACACCCTACGTCAAGAGAAAAACGACACGCTGGCTACGTCATCACTGGTTCTTTGGCGTGGTGGGGGGTTTTAGATTTGATCTATAGAGGCCTTATGAGGATAAGCTATCCTACAGTAGTACTCATGGCAAAAACCTCAGAGTAACACTACATAAATAGAGAGGGCAAGTCATTCATAAAATCACTTGGTTTCTGCGGTATTTTTTTTTTTGAATTTCCAATTCCATTTTCCCTGCAACTTAGGACAATTTATAAATATGGCACATCTGCAGTAAGTGTCCGCAAGTGATCTTAGAATGGGAATCAATGTTTGGGGCATTTTTTATTCATGATAATCCTATCTATTTCATATGTTTATCTGAGGCAAAAACCATTGGTAAAATTAGTGCAAAAAGCATGTATTTCTGTCACTTTCTTTTATATGCTAGTAAAAGACGACGGGAATACTTTCAGTGCGGAGTGAACTTAGCAATGGATTTCACTATTAGTGTGTATTATCCTTGGTGTGAATGGTCCAAGGCGGCGCGATAATCAGCGCCATTTTGTTTACTTGCCATGTGTTATTTATTGAAAAATTTGCCTTCGGCGCCCAAGAATTGTTTCGGCGCCATTACCCTCAGTTTATTTACCTATAATTTAGGGGGGGAGTGGGGAAGTAGTATATGCCCTATGTCAAATTTGTCATGCCCTATCACCAGGGATGCTATTTCTAGTACAATTGTACTAGATCTAGCACAATCACGTAACACCTAGTACGCTAATACCTCTCTCATAAATCTAGTACAATTTGGATTACGAGTCACAACTTCTGATCTGTACTCTTTACTTGTGAGTTAGGTTCCACGTTCTAGGTCCCACTCCGGTGCGGCTAAAGCCAAACAAGAAATTGGCATTTCGAATATGAACCGAATTTTCGCGACGAACTACGTCCATGATTTCATGAACACAATCGCTTTCGCAAGAAACTCATGACGTCATACTGAACGTAGTTTGACAGAAGCATGGACGCAGCTTCTAGCCAGCATTCAAACTCATTACGTCACAGACAAACTATGGTTCGTCCTTGAATGAACTACATTCGTCGCGAAAATTCGGTTATGGTTTCAAACGCACACGCACTCTTCTATTCTGTGACTTGACGTGTGTCATGTATAGGGGGTAATTCGATTATTCAGCCGATCACGGAACTAAATATGTAGAAATTTATTTACTTGTATCATTTAGGGCCGGTTTCCCGAGTCCTCCCCCAGGGTAAACATTGTAACTGGACACGTTTACCCTGGAGTTAAAACCAGCCCGGAGGTGAATCGCTATTGAAAAACCGACCCTAAAACAAGTGATATTTACTTCCAATTAGCAGAACCTATTTGTATTCAAATTTCAAAATTTAACGATCTCTCAGCTAGTACACAATGTCGCCAATCTAGTACAATTATTCCCTACTTTCTGGTACAATTTTTTTAGTGCTGATAGCATCCCTGCCTATCACAAATTTGACTCTAGCTACGGCCCTGGCTTGGTTATACCAGATTTCAAAAAAAATAGACTATAGAGCAATCGAAATCATGTCCAGTGTCCAGGAACCTCGAATATTCTCGAATTTACTGATAATCACGTATCACAAATTTCTATTTCCTACTGTATATCCATTTCTTTTTTCCTTATTCTTTTTCTTATGTCACTCTTTTATTTCAAGTCCATTAATCACTGGAGCATAGGAAATACCTTAATGTCACCTATTTTTCCCACTTTATCTCCGTTTCTTTCTCAATTGTTAAATTTTTTATATTGCTGTCTCTTACTTTATTATTCTAGGCTTTTGATTGCTTGAATACAAAACGAAAAGCAATGAATATATGTGTCATTTTGTCTAGCCTCCATCTCTTTCTTTTTTACTGAATCTTTTATATCAGTAGCTTTCTCTTATTATTCCAGGCTTTTGAGTTATAGATTGGTCGGACACAAAAGTTACAAGGTCACTTAAAATTTGTGTCAAATTTTTTCTTATCTCACTTTATTTCTGTTTCTTTCTTATTTATTGAATTTCCTATATTGCTGTCTCTCTAATCTCTATTATTTCAAGCTCTTGGCCACTCAAGCGCCGGGAATATTTAAAGTTTGCATCACTATCCCACTTTATCTCTGTCTTTTTCTTAACCATTGAGTTTCTTATGTCGTTTTTTTTGTCCTACTTATTAGCCAGATACAAAAATTACATACAAACTCACTCAAACGCCGGAACTATTACATTTTTCCTTATCCCACTTTATTTCTGTTTCTTTCTTATTTATTGAATTTCCTATATTGCTGTCTCTATATTATTCCAAGCTCTTGGCCGCTCAAGCACTGATGGGATAATCAAAGTTTGCGTCACTATTCAATCTATCTCAAAGCATACAATAGAAGTGTCTCATATTACCTGATGTGCGTAGGCAGTTGAGGTAGAAATTTGACAGTACGCATACAGTAAAAATGTCACTAACGCCCCCAGTGGCGCGCGCATCTATGTTCTTTTCCAGTTCATCTCATTATTTTTAACCATATGCAGCGTTGCCACCTCTACCGATTTATCGGTAGATCTACCGATTTTCAAATGAATCTCCCGATTTTAAACCATTGTCTCACGATTTTTCTGCAATTTGTTGGTAATGCAACAAATATGTAGATATTATATATTTTATTTAAAATAAAAAATAAAAATGTTTCCCATTGCGCAAGAAAATCTAAAAACTAATAATAACATCTGATATCGTGTCTCGTGTGTCACGTCACTGATGATCACTTATGAAAACGCCATTGAAATTGAAAGTCACTTTACACACTAGGCAATTTTTCGCGAGGATAACCAAGCATACTCGATTATGCTCAGATGTTATGTGTCAATTGTGTCATACTCCCCCACTATCAAATTCTGGGATACTCGAGGATCAAGAACACTTAAAACTTCTTCTGTGAGAACAAACAACATTTAAAATCATTGAAAAAATTAACTCAATAACTAGCACAACCTGAATCTGCATTCTATTGCGGTCTGCAGATGACGTCATCACTATAAGCTGCTGGTAGTGACGTCACTCGCAGGCCAGGAATTGGATAGTGAAGGAGTTAGGGAAGTATGACACAGTTGACACATAACATCTGAGCATAATCAGTGTTTGATTATGCTCGCGAAAAATTGAAATAGAAATCACATTGCACAATAAAATTATGACTGAATCTATAGACTGGTTTTACATATTTAAGCAAATTGTGGCGGAATAACGTCATATGACGCAACCGCCTACCTACCGCGATTTTTAAACGAAAACTACCGATTATTTCTCCAATAATCTACCGTCAGAAGTGGCAGCACTGACCATATGCACTGTCTCTTATTATATACAAGACACGTCTATTACATACAAACATTTTCCTTTTATCATTTTTCTAGAGCTCTGTTCCAACAGACATGAGAACCGTTTTAGAACCAATTGCCCACCTATTTTCCAATAATAATTTATTAACTGGAAATTACTGTTCTAGAACAGAACTTCATGATTCCAAATTCTCTCATTTTTGTTCCAGATCAATCGGAATCACGCCCAAGAACCTCAAACATTCTCGAATCTACTGATCAAACTGCTCGAACTGAGAAATTTAGGGCTGAAACACAACCACCACTTGGACTGGTTCAGAGAAAACTGGCAAAAACTGGCTCTGCCTCCGTTGTTTGCCGAAATCTTCGACATTCCCAAATCCGAAGACGATGTTTAGTGATAATAAAAATGAAATTTTTTGGAGCGTTTTGACAAATCTTACAAGGTAGGTATATACAGGGTGAACCATTTAAAACGAAACATCTGGTGTCAAGTAATTTGATTGTGAGAGTGTTTATATACTTATTATTTCAAATGGAACAAGGGGTCGAGTGATATTTCTTTTAAAAGAGCGTTCTCATTTGGAAGAAAATTGAACAAACAGGTATCACTCGACCCCCTGTTCCATTTGGAATGGTAAGGGTTGGACCCACCTAAGCTAGTGCTAAAAATGTTTCAAACACTCACACAAGTGACATTATATATTTAGCCTGTTCCGTTTTAAATTGTACACCTTGTATTTATGTATTCAAATAATTATTGTGTATACATAAAAAAATCAAATTTAATAATATTTCAGGTGTATGTACAGACTATACTACTAAGCTTAAGCGTATTTGATCTGCTCAAAAAAATTGAAAAACAAGACACAAGAATAAACGGAAAAAACTATAGAATTAATGGAGAAAAAGACAGGGTCCCACAGAGATGTTTTTCAATAATTATTTTTGTTATAATTAAGATTATTTAGAATTATTTCGTATATAGTGCGGTAAAGAAGACAAACGCTATTGAAATACATATCAAATAAATGTGAAACAGTTTTTCTTTGCGAGGTAATTGTGACTCTGTTTTAGGAGTTTTTATTTATTTTCTATATTGAGTGCTCAATTTGGTGTGCGGTAATAACAAACCATAATTTGATATTAGTATATAAAGTAGGAACACTAGGAACCCTCCCCCCAGTACCTTATTTAAATAATTAATCTTGTATATAATAGTGTCGCTCTCTTTAAATACATAATTGCTTTAATTAGATTTAAAATTGTTTGTGGAAAAATCATATCATAAGTTTGTCAATCAAATATTGTTGGTGAGCAATAAAAGGATTTTTTAGATTTTGCTATCCCCCAACAAGGCCAATACCTACTACATACTACAGGGTGTTTTCTAATTATTAATAGTTAGAAAAACACCTTGTATAATAAAAGTATGTCTATTATAATCATCTCTATATAAAAATCGATGGCAATATATAATACATATAAATAAATATGATTATGGCATTTTGACATTTTTATATATGTGCTCAAAATATGGCGGCATTTTTACGACAATTATTATTATGACATACATATACAGGGTGTCTAAAAGGTTTGTACAAAATCTTTTGTACAGAGCTTTCAGAGAAACCCTGTATAATAGCGAATATTAGGTATATAAGACTATAAACTACATATTACATGTTAACTATTCAAATATTGTTATTGCTCTTTTTGTTTATTATATATTTGAATTTTACTTATATAATATAATGTCAAACATTTAAATTATTTATAATAAGTACTGCTACGATCAAGTACCTATATATTTTTTTCATATAAGTATATCGCACTTGCTACTACAAAATGTAGTAGAGTGAGATGGTTTCTTCTGCATCATAGGTTTTACCCCGTGGGTGCGAAAGAGACAACACTAGATGGGTTCGCATATTCAGCGCGGAGTTGGAGTGGAGTGAACAGAGATAATGGAGTCACTCGGAGTGCACTGAGTGAGCAAGCCGAACCCACCTACTATACAGTGACATTTCACCGTGATTTCCAACTTCTACTTACACTTCGCCAAAATTCTATTTTCACTGTGTTTAGCGAAGTGGAAGTCAAAGTTGGAAATCAGGTTGAACAAGAAGTGGAAGAAATCGAGCGAAAATGCCAGACATTTTGCTTTCTCTCTCACACCCGCAGAGCCAATGTATAGTCTCTCTCGCACCCACGAGGTGGAACCTATGATGTAGAAGAAATCATCTTACTCTACTGAATTTATTTTTTAATAAATAATTATTATTAGATTTTATTATAAATAATTATTTTTTCTTTAGGTATTTTTGTTGTTTTTTTTTTTTTTTTCAATTTACTATTTGGATTTGAATTGTGTATAAATAAAAAATAAAAATACAATTTGTCTTTGTAAGTACTTTTTTAGGGGTTGTTCTTATTGTTTCCTGCATTTTTGATTATAATTGATTTAGGACATGTACTGTTTCATATACAGTTATGTATAGAAATGGCCTGATGTTTGAGAACGTGGTTTAAGAAAAATGTATTGTCTGGCCAACAAATCTGAAGCATGCAGTTGTGAAATACATAGGTATTTCATCCATAAAATAATCAGTTGCGTGCCGAATTTTTTGAAAATATATCCTATTGTGATTCATACACGAAACTCGATAATGTGACCAATGCCCCGCCACTGAATATTTCAATATAAATCGGTATTTCAAGATGGGAAGATGAAGGGATGCAAGATACAAGCCTTATTGGCCAATAGCAAGACTCCAATGGAAAAGATTTGTCAAGGCTGCATGTTTGTCGAATTGACAAAAGCTGTTGATAGCAAATGATCCAAATGTATGTCCCTACTGCATGTAATATTTTTACTTTTGTATAATGAAATGTGGCAACATTGAACAATTTCATCCGAATTTCTTCCGTAGCTTCAGATCGTTATAGACAGTGTTGCCATCCCTTTGGAATAAAATTTCCCACTCGAATAAAATTTTCCCACCATGCACAATAAAAATTCCCCAGAAATTTCCCAAGGTTTGGAAACCACTCTGTATAAGAATTTTGAATTCTACGCACAAATTTTAGGCTTTGCGCAGAATCGTGTCGGTACATAGTACGCGGTTGGAGAAAGCTCATATTGGCTGTGACAGCTTACAGCCTGGATGTGTGGCTACGAGATAACAGAACGCTAAATGTTATCAGTTTAATGGAAACATGATGAATAGGCAATTTTTGGCGAGGATAATCAAGCATAATCTGATTATGTTGGGTTACAGTGACTCTATTACCTACAGTGGCGACAATTGCTGTCTTATTTTTGATTGGTTCTAAAATCCCATATATTTATATTGAAAACGCGGCCATCTTGTTCCCAGCCATTGTTTATTTTAAATATGAATATATGGGATATGGGTGAACATCCATCATAAAACATGGAAAACAACCTATTTAATGGACCTAATAATAATCATCAAATACGTCGATTTCAATTTTTTATGATAGATGTCCATTTGAATTCTATATATTAATATTTAAAAGTAACAAGAGGTTGGGAACAAAATGGCGGCGGGACCTCTATTGTCGCCACTGTATTAAAAGGTTTATTTAGTTACTGTAGGGAACAAGATGGCGGCGGGACCTCTATTGTCGCCACTGTATGTTGGGTAATGTGATGTGTCAATTGTGTCATACTCCCCTAACTCGATCAAATTCTGAGCCTTCGAGAGACGTCACTATCGGCAGCTTTTAGTGATGACGTCATCCGCAGACCTCGATGGAATGCTTGCGATTCCAGGCTGCGCTAGTGAGTTAATTTTTCCGTCGACTTTAAATGTAGAAAAGTCGATTTCCGGTCTGTTCTCACAGAACAAATAAGGTGTTCTTGATCCTCGAGCATCCCAGAATTTGATGATAGGGGAGTATGACACAATTGACACATCAGATAATCCAACAAGAGATTTTTGGTTATCCTTGTGAAAAATTGCCTAATAATAAATAAATAAATATCTACTATTGACAGTTCGACCATTGACACTTGACTATAGTTGACAAGCCGTGCGTTCGTTATTTTGGTCCGAGTTCTCCGAGCTTGACTTTACCGTTCGTTTATTTAAAAAGTGTACTCGGTGCAGCCTCATTCGCGTTCGTTTATTAAAATTTCTGGCACTTTTATACAGCGTTCAACTGCTCTGTTCGCTCACTGGTCACGTGATTATGGCTCCGCTCGGCACGCTCTGCTCTTTGAGCAAAATACCGAACGCAAGGAAGGTAAAGATAAGATGATTTTTGGGAATTTTAAAACATGACAACACTCCAAGAGGCTGACAATTTTCATAAAAATATTTACTTTTGTCTTATTCGCAAAAATAGTCAAAATTTCTCATAAGAACGCATATTTTTTAATTTAAGTCCCATGAGTTAAGAAAATTTCCCATAAAAACATGTATTTTTAATATTTTTCCCATTTCAAATATTTTCGTCCAAAAATTCCCACGAAAAGGGAAATTTCCCACGAGTTGGCATCACTATAGTTATAAATTGCCTGATAACTTTTATACTGTCATCTGGGGTGCTTGAACATTATGCAAATCTCAATGGGGCACCCTAAATGACGTCATCTGTATGGAAAATTTTGACACAGCAATATAAAAAATTCAATAAATAAGAGAGGAACCGAAATAAAGTGAGATAAGAAAAAATGTAATTATTCCCGGCGCTTGAGTGAGCTTATATGTAATTTTTGTATCTGGCCAATACAGGCGAGTAAAATAAAGGGAACGACATAAGAAACTTAGCGGTTAAGAAAAAGATAGAGATAAAGTGGGATAGTTTAAATAGCTTTGATTATTCCCGGCGCTTGAATGGCTAAAAGCTCAAAAGACAGCAATATAAGAAGTTCAATAAATGGAAAAGAAACAGAAATAGAGTGGGATTAGGTAGGGTTTCCATACGTCCGGATTTACTCGGACATGTTTGGGATTTTAGAGTGTCCGGGGAAGTCCGGCCGGAATTCGAAACAATGTCCGGAAAACTCGGAGATCCTGAAAATACTTATACTCAGTTCACGCACTATTCATCCAAAAGACGTAAAATTTAACTCTATGCATCAGTACGTAAAGTTAAGTGACTTTACACATTAGGGTCACTATATAGGCAATTTTTCGCAAGGATAACCTAGCATACTCGAGTATGCTAGATTATGTGATTACGTATTACGTCAATTGTGTCATACTCCCCTAACTCACCCATCATCAAATTCTGGGATACTCGAGAACACTTAACTGCTTCTGTGAGAAGAGACCGAAAATCACCTTTCCTACATTTAAAATCGATGAAAAAATTAACTGATTCCATCGTGGTCTGCGGGTGACGTCATCATTATAAGTTGCTGGTCGTAACGTCACTCGCAGGCCCAGAATTGAATGGCAAGGGAGTTAGGAGAGTATGGACGCACTTGACACATCACATAACCCAGCATAATCAGATTAGGCTTGATTATCCTCGCGAAAAATTGCTTATCAAGCCTAGTAGGTACTCATAACTGCGAAATTGCATTTTTTTGACATTGCGTTGATAATTTGACGTTTTATGCATGTATCAAACGTCAAATTGTCGAAGCAATGTCAAAAAAATGCGAATTTCGCAATTATAAGTACTAGGCTTTAGTGCGTGAAGTAATGTCAATCACAGATGTTGACACTCCAATTTGTTTCTAGTAAATTACTTTACTTTACGCACTAGTGCGTGAAATATTTGTCTAAATTAATTTTTTTACACATATTTTATTGGTAGTAGAAAATTGTTTGTATATTATGCAATATGTGTGTAAAGTGAACCTTTTTTCACAAATGTGAATTTTGTCGCACTCGCGCCTTTCACTTTACACACTCTTAATAGTTATTTCGGCGAAGTCCGGATTTTGTCCGGATTTCTCGACTCCTTTATCCTGAATTCCGAAAAACCTTTATGAAAACCCTAGTGATTAAGAAAAATGTAATTATCTTCGGCGCTTGAGTAAGCTTGTATATAATTTTTGTATCTGGTGAATAAGTAGGACAAAGAAAACGACATAAGAAATTTACCAGTTGAGAAAAAGACAGAAATAAAGTAGAATAGATTAATAGTGATGCAAATTTTAACAAAACAGAGACAGAAATGAGGTTTAGAAGTAATGAGTAGGACCATGAATCGGCTAAAGGTTGTTTGAAAAAGGTAGTTTGCCTGAAATTTTTTATGACGTCATTTCCGGTGCCTCAACATAATGCAAATCTTCATGAGGTATGTACCCCAGATGACGTCATCTGTTTCCCATAAGCAGACTGTATTTTTAAATAGAAAAATCCTGTTAAACCCTATTCATATTGATAATCTTAGGTGTAAAAAGCAATGTTACACAGCTAATTCAAAATTTAAATTTTCAAGGGGCATTTAGACACTCCTCATCTCTTTTTATCGAGTGTTATTAAAACGAGACAAAAAATAATTGAATTATCGATCAACAAATTCAAGAGCCAGGAATAGACAAAAAATTTATACTATTCAATAATATCGACATTAGTGACTTTGATATTGTATCGATACACAAGAATATCGATCTCAAGTAGCCACCATCTTCTTTTAAGTAACGACCATTTTCTAACAGACCAGAAACATAACCTCAAAAGTTTAGTTATTTATATTTTGTTTGTTTAATTTTGGAAAATTATGGAGGAAACCGATAAAGTAGTACCAGTACCACTACAAGAAGAAACATTACCAACGAAAAAATCTAGAAACAGAAAAAAGCACTTTTACAATACAATTTTACAGCAAATGGAGTTTTATTTCAGCGATTCGAATCTCACTAAAGATCGCTTTTTGTCGCAACTTTTAAGCGAAAATACAGGTGAGACCATAGCAAATAATTCAATAACAAATAATGTGAACGAGGCTTTATTTTCCATAATATAGAAATCGACATTGAAACGTTTTTGAAATTCAACAAAATCCGCAAGATCAACTGCACCATCGAAGATATTCAAAAAGCCTTGAGCAAATCTGAACTGATTGGTCTGAGTGAGGATGGCAAAAAGCTGCACAGGAAAATTCCAATTTCCATTAAAGAAAACGTGGATCTTTGCACTATTTATGTAGAACATATCAGAACTGATGCCACACATGAAAGTCTTATACAAATATTTTCAGATTTTGGTAAAGTGGTTTATGTTTCTATACCAAAGTATAAACACAATAAAAATAATAAAGGATTTGCCTTTATTGAGTATGAAACTGAAGAGCAAGCTCAGGCTGCAATTGCTTATTTTGATAGTATTGGTATGAAAATACCTACTGCTAAAGGGCCTGAGGAATTACAAAGTATTTTGACTTTTGAGGGAGAACAACAAGAATTGTTTGTTGAAGAAGAAGAAGGAAAAATTAATACTGATGTTACCAAAGAAGAAGAAGAGAAAATTAATACTGTTACTAAACAAGAGAAAATAGATACAGTTGTTGAAGAAAAGAATACCACAAGCAAAAGGAAATTGAGTATTGAAGAGCCAGATAAAGAAACTAAAAAACAAAAACTTACTGATGAAACTGTAGAAGAAAGTGAAACAAGTAAAAGGAAATTAGATTCTAGCCCAGAAGAAACTGATAGTAAAAAACTAAAATTAGAAACAACAGAAGTCAAGAAAAAGAAACACAAGAAAAAAGACAAAAGAAAGAATTACTTCAAAGAACTTGGTATGCAAGTGCTCTCAAAGAAAGAATGGAAAAGACTCAGAAACCAATACCTCCAACTGCAAAGAAAAAAAATGAAAGAATTCAAACAATACTTATACAAGCAAAAATACGGCCCAAAAGAATTTGAAGAAGAACCAATCATTGCAGAACCAATCAAACTAAACTACATACCAGGAGTTATAGTCAAGCTCAAACTCCTAGAGCCTTGCAATGATGTCAAAAAACTAAAAACTGAAGTTAAAACCACCTTCACTGAAGCCAAATATGTTGATGTGCCTTTACCAGCAGGCAGCGAAGAAGTCTTCATTAGATTCAATACTGCAGAGGCTGCAAATGAATTTAAAGATGCAGATTTTGAAGGAGAGAAAGTTGTTTTGGCTGGAGAAGAAGAGCGAATTTATTGGGAGAAAATTGAAACCGATAGGACGGTGAAGTTTAAGAAAACTGCTAAAAAGCAAAGAGGCCGGGATAAGTTGCTTAAAAGGGCTGAAAGGGAATCGACCAAACATATGCGGTTTGAAGATGAAGCACTTGATTTAGACATTTAAGCATTTTTATTAATAAACATTTATCAGTTTATTATTGTTTTTTGTTTATTTCTCCGCTTGGGGTCAAATTTATATGGAATTCGGATAACAATATATTGCATAATCGTTTTGTTTGTTGCAGGAAAATTTTACTTCAATTATACAAAACCTATAAGTTTTTTTAAATATCTAGGGTTTTTTGTAAGCAAATTGGGCTATGGGTGTCTAATTACAAATTAGCCATATTTTCCTCCAAATTTAAAACACTTAATAGTCAACTGCTTACTATATAGTGTTACTACGCACCCAAAGAAGAATTAGGTGCTCAGTCATTCTCTGCCACCTTTCCTAGTAACAAGACTTCTCAGATCATGATTGTACAATATGCTTATAGAAAGTTATAGAATTGACCTCTGTAGTAGTATAATTAATTCTTGTATATATCTACCTCCCAATCAGTAGTTTATAGTTTTCAGAAATTATATTGCTATCACTTAAATTGAAGTATTTATCGGACAATAGGCGACCTCTGGCCCAAATTTCTCAAAAAAGATATAACGTATTTACAAAATTCCCTATCAAAATCGAGTATAAGTAGCCGGGACCCGAAATTACGAAAACATTATTAGTTTGTTTGTTGAGTTTTTGCTATACATTTGTTTTCAAATATGGCCAAGTTTTTTGCGGTAAGTATTACATTGTAGTCTGATATCATCAGTTTTGTAAAATTGTTTAAAGTCGGCAAGGTATAAGGATTATACCTTTCACTTGATTTTAAGTCATTTCTTGGAAACTGTGTCATACATTTCAAAGAAAAATGTGTATTCTAAGCAATGCAAATTTTTAAAGGAACCAGTTTTAAAAAGCGCTTTTAAATTAAAAGAGGATGTTGCATACAAGAGTTGTGATATAGCTGTTAAGTCTTTTTAAATTTAACTTTTTACATCTCTGCTTTCATAGTATCATACTTTGCCAAGTGATTAGTTAGACACCTTGTACAGTGTATATTTTCAAAAAGAATTCAATGTTACTATTTCTTTTGTAGGTATTTTTGGCAGTCTGCGTAGCCACAGCTTGTGCTGCCTCATACGGTTCAACAGGTACGTAATAATCATCCATTAACCCTCAACAAAAATCTAATTAATTATAATTTAGGCCAAGGCGGTTACGGTAGCGGACAAGGACACCAAAGTGGTGGCGGTCAATCTGGACACCAAGGTGGCGGAGGAGGATTTGGTGGCCAATCCGGACACCAAGGTGGTGGCGGATTTGGTGGACATCAAGGAGGTGGTGGATTTGGTGGTCAAACCGGACACCAAGGTGGTGGCGGATTTGGTGGACATCAAGGAGGTGGTGGATTTGGTGGTCAATCTGGACACCAAGGTGGCGGAGGAGGATTTGGCGGTCAATCTGGACACCAAGGCGGTGGAGGATTTGGCGGACACCAAGGAGGTGGCGGTTATGGCGAACACCAAGGCGGATACAAATCCAAAGGATATTAAATAATTTAAATAAAAAAACACATTATTGTAAAATATTTTTTGCTCATTATTCCTCATCTATCACCGAATAATCGTGATGTTTTACCCTAGAAGTATACACATCGTACCCTAAAGACACAAAATTATCAAAAAGTACCCTATATTTGGTTGACAGTACGTAAAAGTTTAAAAACTGACAAGGAGGCCAAATCATCCATTCAGCAGCGTACAATCGCCAGGCCTTAGTTTTGACTTCTTCAACAAATTCTTCTAGTGAGGATTGTTCCAATAAGGCTATAGACCCAAAAAAGGTGGATATAGCTAAAGGAGACCCTATCAATTGGTCTACAACAATTTTCTTCATTACTATTCTAATTGTATATCCAGGCAGAAATACATCTAAATATTTGTACCAAAAATGGCATACGAATCCTACTGTGGTGCCTGATAGGGCCATATCCCTAGTCCTCCGTCTGTCCCATTTCGGTATTTCCTCCGTTATAATTTCGTATTGCTGTTCTAAAAGGTCTCCTACGCCGGACAAGCTCAAAGAAAGTCCTACATTGGTGTACAGCAAATATCTGTCGCTGAACATTGTGTGAAATGTTTTGGATACCTTACGGAAAATACTTGTTTTTAGTAATTTTGCTGGAGATAGAGCCATGATCACTGTTAATACATAAAAATTGAAAAAAAAAAAACTTAAATAATTCTTTGTTTTAAGGCCACATTTTGAGGTTATGTTTTAGTATGACGTTGATTCGATTAATTAGTCGTTATTTTTTGTCTCGTTTCAATGACACTCAATAAAAAGAGACAAGGAGTGTCTGAATTCTTCCTGAAAGTTTAAATTTGAAATTAGGCAATCCAACGACCTGTCCAAATGGCGTCTGGTTGGCAAACAATAAACATATGTTTTTTTTTTTGGCAGGATTAAGCCTGGGTACTCATAACAGCGAAATTCACTCTTTTTGAACATTGCTTCGACAATTTGACGTTTTATGCGTGAATCAAACGTCAAATTGTCGAAGCAATGTCAAAAAGAGCGAATTTCGCGGTCATGAGTACTAGGCTTTATCAATACACGAGGCGAGTACTCAAACCTGACACTTTTCTGACATCGTTGACATGTAACGTAACAACCCGTATTCTAACCTCATAAAAATTTCAAAATGCCGGCTGATTAAATTTTAAGTGATGTCGTGCTCTGTACTTGAATAATTACGTATTAAACTGTCTTCCGTTTTCATACATAACTATCACCCTGTATATGTTTTATATGTTGTTTTCAGTCCATAATAGTGAAATTTACAGTAGAAGCTTGGAGCACTCCAAGCTTGAAGCTGTTGTATTGTTTTTTTATCCCTGTTCTTCTCATCAAAATGAAAAAAGATAGAAGATGCTCCAAGCACTCAGTGTTTCAAGACGAACTCAAGACTTAAGATGGCCGCTATCAAGGTTGTTTGAGAGAGGTACCATAACTTTATGACGTTATCTGGGAGGACTCAACATAATGCAAATCTCCATAAGGCACCCCAGGACCTGAAATTTCAGAACGCACCTACTGGTAATGGGAAATAGATGACGTCATCTGGGGTCCCTTATGGAGATTTGTAATATGATAAAACACCAGCAGATGACATCATAAAAGTTATCATCAGGCAACAACCTTAAGCCAATTCATGGTGGTATTTGCAATATTGCCAAGATTACCGTTTATAAGATGTAGTATGTAACCAAATGTATGTAACATACCTAATGAGTGTATTGCTATTTACTATTTTTAAACCTCTTTTATGTTCCTGTCTTCTTTATTGAATTTCTTATATTGCTGTCTCTTTATGCTGTTGGCCACTCAAGCGCCGGGAATAATCAAAATTTGCGTCAATATTTAATCTATTTCTGTCTGTAGTACAAATAATAGGTACAAGGTGTTCGTTTTGCACGCTGGGAATCTTCTCGTCCTTGTTCATAACCCGTGGTCTGACAAGGAAAAAATTGAGGCTGATATTTCACAACTAAATTGTAGGGCCTCAACAGCTACTTAAAAAGAGAAAATCATATCCTGACTCAAAAGCTAAAGAAAGAAAGACAAATATATTCAACTCAAATAATCTATCTTCTTCTTCGTGATGAGGTTGCTTAATTTTCTTATGTCAGAAGCTACAAAATGGCATCAAAATTGTAGAATTTTGATTTGATGTTCATTTTCTGATTATTCCCGGCTCTTGATTCGAATCAAGTGCCTGGAATAATTACTCAATTATTATCAGAGACAAATCTATAGGGGTGTTCATTTGTACTTACTTGCTTTACTCTTGAGATCTTGTTTGAAACACGAAAAGCAGTTGAGTCAATATTTCACAAATATAAGTAAAATTGATGTTTCTATCTAAATACATATATCAGTTATCTTAAACGGTTTTCATAATATGAGGTTTCAAAGTGTATGTCGCAATGCCAGGGGCATTTTTTAAACCAAAAGGCATACACAAAATTATTCTTCATGGATATTTCTCAATTTTCATACTAAAATTAACAGTTTCGAATCAAAATTGAATGCTTTTCAAGATAGAACAGGTTTGAAACCGATATCTTGAGCAGTTTTCAAGATATGAGGCTTCAAAATGTATGTGGCAGGGACATTTTTTAAACCAAAAGGCATACATGTGTATACACGAAATCACTTTTAGCTCGATGAATTTTATACAAAAATTAATAGTTTCGAATTACAATTGAATGTTTCTCAAGATAGAACAGGTTTGAAACCGATATCTCAAGCTGTTTTCAAAATATGAGGCTTCAAAGTGTATGTGGCAGGAGCATTTTTTAAACCAAAAGGCATACGTATGTATACACAAACTCACTCTTAGCTCAATGAATGTTTCTCAAATTTTGTACTTAAACAAAACAGTTTTGAATAAGAATTGAATGCTCTTCAAAATAGAACAGGTTTGAAACTGATATCTTGAGTGGTTTTCAAGATATGAGGCTTCAAAGTGTATGTGGCAGCGGCATTTTTTAAACCCAAAGGCATACATGTGTATACACAAAATCACTCTTACCTCGATGATTATTCCTCCATTTTTAAACTAAAATTAACAGTTTCAAATCGAAACTGAATGCTTTTCAAGATAGAACAGGTTTGAAACCGATATCTCAAGCTGTTTTCAAGATATGAGGCTTCAAAGTGTATGTGGCAGGAGCATTTTTTAAACCAAAAGGCATACGTATGTATACACAAACTCACTCTTAGCTCAATGAATGTTTCTCAAATTTTGTACTAAAACAAAACAGTTTTGAATAAGAATTGAATGCTCTTCAAAATAGAACAGGTTTGAAACTGATATCTTGAGTGGTTTTCAAGATATGAGGCTTCAAAGTGTATGTGGCAGGCATACATGTGTATACACTAAATCACTCTTAGCTCAATGAATTTTATACTAAAATTAACAGTTTCGAATTAGAATTGAATGGTTTTCAAGATAGAACAGGTTTGGAACTGATATCTGGAGCGATTTTCAAGATTTGAGGCTTCAAAGTGTACGTGGCAGGGGCATTTTTTAAACCAAAAGGCATACACAAAATCACTATTAGCTCACGAATCAAATGCCTGGAATAATTACTCAATGTATCAACTTATTTGTAATGCAATGTCAATTCAATTGAGCATAGTTTTGATTGGACGAGTGTGAAATTTTAGTAAATCTCGGCTTTTGATTCGTCCAAATTCCCGGATTATTATGTTGATCAGATAAAATACTCGTCTCAAAACTCAGAAATTAGTTTTTAAGTGAATATGGTACTTAAACAACGAATTGAAGAGTAAATTGAAGTCCTATTACTTCTGCAGTCCTCAGTAATTTACTCATTAATACTTCAAAATCAAGAGCCTGGAATAGAAAAATTATGAATATGATCGACAAATTCGTATCGATATGCATTATTATCGATGTACAGGTACATTTATACTATCGCATCGATCCCCTCCTCTAATAACGATATCCATTTGTCGAACCAGTGCAAAAAAAATGTATCCCTATCCTTATATGTTACATGCTTTTAGAAAAAGATGCGAATACACGCAGTGCGCACTGATTGACAAATGGAAATCGCCATAAAAATTTAAGCTATGTTCCGTTATCAATTGCATTGCCAGTAGGATTTACTCTATGATTCGGAACATAGCCTTAATAGTTCGCGACTTATTTGAGGTTATGTGATTGTGTGTGTGTCTTTCTTGCATGTTGTGTTTTAAATTTTAAAGTAAAATCACTCGTTTTTTCTTCAAAAATATAAATTAAAAATAACATAACTTAGATAAAACAATACATAGGTAAGTAATAATTACATTAAACAACTAAATTTGCCGCCAACATTCAACATTTTAACAATAATTCTAATCTTCACGTGTTTGTACATAATTTTATTATTTTGTTCGCAGACAATAATGTCATTTAGAGGCGGCGGACGCGGTTTTGGAGGTAGAGGCGGCAACCGCGGAGGCGGTCGCGGTTTCGGCGGAGGCGGTCGAGGTTTCGGCGGAGGCGGCAGAGGCGGTGGCAGGAGCTTCGACCAAGGCCCCCCCGAACAAGTAGTACCCCTCGGCTATTACGACTACCCTTGCCAAGACGATTTAATTTGTAAAGTGGAAATTCCCGACGTGCCGTTTTTCAATGCCCCAATTTATTTGGAAAATAAGGAGCAAGTTGGTAAAATCGATGAAATATTCGGACCTATAAGGGATTATTGGGTTTCAATCAGACTAGGGGACAACATGAAGGCGGGCAGTTTCAATAAAAACCAAAAAGTAATTATTATTTTCCATTTTATATCAATCTTACATTGTTTTTTGTAGCTTTTCATTGACCCAGCAAAACTATTACCAATCCAAAGATTCCTACCGAAACCTCCAGGTTCGGTACAAAAACGCGGCGGTTCGAGGGGCGGCAGGGGTGGCGGCGGCAGAGGAGGCGGAGGCGGTTTTGGAGGCAGAGGAGGCGGCGGTGGATTCGGAGGCAGAGGTTCTAGAGGAGGATTCGGTTCGGGGGGACGAGGCAGAGGTGGCGACCGAGGGGGCGGCAGGGGTGGCGGTTTCAATAGAAATTCGAGCGGGGGCGGTTACGGAGATAGAGGGGGTTTCAATAGAAACAGTGGAGGAGGCGGGGGCGGTTTTAAAAAATGGTAATAAGTGTTTTAGATATAGGTTTTATTTTGTAATAATTAATATAAGAGATTCATTATAAACAAATAAAAGAATTTTGTTTAGTTAATTAATTAATGTTATTTATTACCTTAGAATGGAGAAAGTGAAGCTTTTTCCTTTTTCTTCCCATATAAGCTCAAAAAAACTGTAAATAATATAATTTGAGGTTATGTTTGATTTGAAATTTTGAATGTTGAAATGTCATTATTGTCAATCTTTAGGTGTTTTCAAAAATCATTGTCAGGGCAGCTAGAACTGTCAATAAGTTGCACCATTTACAATTTTGATTTTAGTTTATTATTAACCTATTAACAAATGCAGAAAGTGATACTTTACCGCACGCATTGGCACTTGAAGAAAAGGAATTTCTAGAAGAGAAAGGATTTTTGATTATAAATACCATAAGTCTACTCTACCGCATTTAGTGCTACTTTTCATTTGCAAATAAGTTCAGTAAAATGCATTTTACCGCACGCTCGTAGGGAGTGGCGGCGATATGCATATCAGCATAGACTGCATGCATGATCTTTCTATTTTACCTCTATCAGACATAACACAGCATTCAATAGATATTCAGTATTTATAGTTACTCCAAAACAGTGATGCCGTGTTTAGTACATTTGTACTAGATTCAGTACACTCTAGTGTAATTTAGTACGTCAGTACACCATCGAAAATGTTAGTACACTTTAGAGAAAATTACACGTCACTATAGCAATTTCCATTTACAGAATCAGTGCAAAAAAAATGTACCTATCTCTATCCTTACATTTTATATGCTTTTAGCAAAAGATGCAGAGTGGTATTGTATACAAGGGCCGTGTTCGTTTTTGTCATCTTTTTCGTCGATTTTCTCCGAAATTTTGACAGGCACGTGACTGGATCAGACAGTTTCAATTTACAAATCACGTGCCTGTCAAAATTTCGGAGCAAATCGATGAAAAAGATGACAAAAACGAACACGGCCCAGGTTCCTAAAGTTAATAGGTTATCTGGTAATGGGTAACTTCATGACGCATCTGGGGTGCCTTAGGGCCGGTATTATAAAGCCTGGTTGACCGAAGGTTGAGTTTCAACTATAGTGATTGAATTGACATTTCCGTATGAATTTATACCATTGAGGTTTTTTTACGGACATTTCAGTTCAACCGTCGGTTGAAATTCAACTTTTGGTCAACCAGGCTTTATAATATGTTGAGGCACTCCAGATGATGTCATAAAGTTATCAGGCAACCTAACTCTCTCAAACAATCTTGCTAGTTCCTAATATACGTTTAGAATTGGCACGAGTAACTTGTCAAATAGTAGCAAGTGTCCATTCTAAACTCGGATTTCCAAAAGAGATTCAAGGAACGACTATAAATTCGGCCATTAGTTATGACTTTATGACGTCGGAAATGGTAACATACCAATATGGCGGCGATTACCAAAAGCGAAGCCGATAAGCAGTCCTGTAGGTGTGCATGATTTTTGTAGAAACAGACCCAATAACTTTGGCCCTTCGGGCTCGTATAACTTCGGCTCTTCGGGATCGTATAACTTTAGCCCTTCGGGCTCGAATAACCTCGACCCTCCAGGCTCGCAAATAACTCCGACCCTTCAGGCTCATAATTAAAAGAAAACCCTAGCCTTCCGGGCTTGAAATTTAAAAAAAAAACACATGACAATACTGCTTATGACACAACAAACGTCAAAAAATTGACGTTTCAAAGTAGGCCAAGGATGATACGCACTACTATTATAGGATAACCTATCTTCATAAGGCCTATGTAGAACAAATCCTCTACTTCCCACTTCCCACTCGCCAAATCACCAGTTGTAACGTAGACTGCATGTGAACTCGAAAGACTGGAGTTATTTTAAACACGAGCCTGGAAGGCCGGAATTATATGAGTTCGAAGGGCCGGAATTATTTTAATTATGAGCCCGGAGGGCGGAGGTTATTCGAACAGGAAGGGTGGAGTTATATGGGCCCTTAGGGCCAAAGTTGTATGGGCCCGAAGGGCCAGAGTTATTTTATTCACAAGTCTGTAGTGCCGGAACTTAGTTTATAATTTTACTAATTCAGTGGTAACAACTTCCCAAAGATGATACACACCTACAGGATTGTTTATCGATCTCGTTTTTGATAATCGCCATCATATTGGTGACGTCATAACTAAGTTATCAGCTGTTTAAATAGCCTACGTCAAGGCGAGAAGTAACATGTTGCTTACGTCACAACTGATGATTTGCCGGAAGGAGATTTGTTCCACACAGGCCTTATGAAGATAGGCTATCCTGTAGTAGAACTCATGCGTTAAATCGTTCTATTACCAACGAGTACGACACACTAGCTGATTATAAATGCTATAGGCACATCGAGTGTACTCTATTCCGTTCAGAAAGTACTTCGGGCGCGCTCCAGTTGAAACCAAACATGTTTTACAAAACGGCCGCCATTTTTGCAAATATAATTAAAAAAATGGCCGTTTGTCAAATGTCACTGTTAAGGCTTTTGATCAAAATTTCTTATTCCGCAAATTCTGATTGGTTCAAGAAAAATTTTACAATGGATCAAGAGCCATAGATAATCAAAATTTGAACTATTACTGGCTCTTGAATCTCTGGAAAACTTTCCTGGGGCCAATCAAGAGCCGGTAATAGTCAAAATTTGAACTTTCATCAACTTTGGATTCGCTAGAAAACTCTCCCAAGGATATTCAAAGCTCAAGAGCCGATATAATCAAAATTTGGAATGATCACATTAGCAGCTCTTGATTAAATATGAATCAAAATTTCTTGTTCCGCAATTTCTGATTGGTTCAAGAAAAATTATCCAATAATGGATCAAGAGCCATAGATAATCAAAATTTGAACTATTACTGGCTCTGGATTCTTTGGAAAACTCTCCTGGAGCCAATCAAGAGCCGGTAATAGTCAAAATTTGAACTTTTATCAACTCTGGATTCGCTAGAAAATTCTCCCAAAGATATTCAAAGCTCAAGAGCCGATAATAATCAAAATTTGGAATGATCACATTAGCAGCTCCTGAGTTAATATGAATCAACGCAATTTCTGATTAGTTCAAAAAAATTATCCAATGGATCAAGAGCCATAGATAATCAAAATTTGAACTATTACTGGCTCTTGATTCTTTGGAAAACTCTCCTGGAGCCAATCAAGAGCCGGTAATAGTCAAAATTTGAACTTTCATCAACTTTGGATTCGCTAGAAAACTCTCCCAAAGATATTCAAAGCTCAAGAGCCGATAATAATCAAAATTTGGAATGATCATTAGCAGCTCCTGAGTTAATATGAATCAACGCAATTTCTGATTAGTACAAAAAAATTATCCAATGGATCAAAAGTCATAGATAATCAAAATTTGAACTATTACTGGCTCTTGATTCTTTGGCAAACTCTCCTGGAGCCAATCAAGAGCCGGTAATAGTCAAAATTTGAACTTTTATCAACTCTAGATTCGCTAGAAAATTCTCCCAAAGATATTCAAAGCTCAAGAGCCGATAATAATCAAAATTTGGAAAGATCACATTAGCAGCTCTTGATTAAATATGAATCAAAATTTCTTGTTCCGCAATTTCTGATTGGTTCAAGAAAAATTATCCAATGGATCAAGAGCCATAGATAATCAAAATTTGAACTATTACTGGCTCTTGATTCTTTGGAAAACTCTCCTGGAGCCAATCAAAAGCCGGTAATAGTCAAAATTTGAACTTTTATCAACTCTAGATTCGCTAGAAAATTCTCCCAAAGATATTCAAAGCTCAAGAGCCGATAATAATCAAAATTTGGAATGATCATTAGCAGCTCCTGAGTTAATATGAATCAACGCAATTTCTGATTAGTTCAAAAAAATTATCCAATGGATCAAAAGCCACAGATAAACAAAATTTGAACTATTACTGGCTCTTGATTCTCTGGGAATACTTTTCTGGAGCCAATAATAGTCAAAATTTGAATTTTTATCGACTCCGGATTCCTAGAGAATTGTTCTAAGGCCAGTCAAAACTCAACAGCCAATAATAATTAAAATTTCGAATGTCCATTAGCAAGGGGGGGGTCTAATTTAGGGGCCCAGTACATCCAAACGCCGCCACTGCTCCTCCATATCATACTGTACAATTTGCTCAATCATCATGAGATGTGAATAATATAGTGCATTATCATTATCTTATCTTTATACAAATAAAAATTAAATATATAAAAACTCGTATTGTTACTGAGTAATTTTAAAGTGAAATTATCATGTCTTCCCAATACAAATTCACCTATTTCGACCTTACCGGTATTGGAGAACCAATCCGGTTACTTCTACACTATGGAAAACTAAATTTTGTAGAGCAACGAATCACCAGAGACCAGTGGCCCAACTTGAAATCATGTAAGAATTCTGTTATGAATAGTAGTACCTACATTACAATGTAATGAAATTTTCTATAGCAACTCCTCTTGGTCAATTACCAACACTAGAATTACCAGACGGACGCGTTTTGTACCAAAGCGTAGCTGTAGCTAGATATGTAGCCTCTCAAGTGGGCCTTAATGGAAAAACTGACTTGGAAAACTGGGAAATTGACTCAGCAGTTGATACTGTTAATGATGTCAGACTCAGTACGTATTGCTGTAATTGTAGCTGAGCTCAAATTGTAATTTGTTTTTTATTAGAAATTGCTGCCTGGCGCTTTGAAGCTAATCCAGCAAACAAGCAAAAAATCAAAGAAACTTTGGATAATGAAATTTTACCATTTTTGCTGACAAAATTGGACACTTTGGCCAGCAAAAATGGAGGATATCTAGCTGCAAACAAGGTACTTATATATGAATTTATAAATAATTCAGCAACTAATTTTTTTTCTTTATAGCTCACTTGGGCAGATTTCTTTTTCACTGCCATGACAGAATTCCTCATCTACCTCTACGGAGCAGATTTTATTTTTAAATATCCAAATTTAGTTCAAATAAAAAGCAACGTCACTTCTATTCCTTCAGTTGAGGCCTGGATCGCTAAACGTCCAAAAGATTATTGGTTCGATAAATGATTATTTTATAAAGTGTAAAAAAATTAAACTTAAGTAAATTTTATTAAATACAGCTTTGGTATATCTTTATTAATATATAAATGCCTTATTTGGTAATTGGAATACAATTTATAATACCTGTTCTAAATGCCTTAAATTCAAAATATGAGATTCACATTTCTCATACTCCTGCTCAATTACACTCTTTTCCAAATTAGCATTTAATATCAAAGTAGGAGCAGGACATTGAAATAAAGTCTTATGATATAACCAATCCTCATGAATCTGATGCAAGGCTCTTAAATAGCTCAAAGACACAGTTTTCTCTTCAGGCCTTTTCCTTTGTAAAATTCTTTGGTACACAATTTCCGGCGAGGTTCTAAGATATACAATTAAGTCTACTTGGGCAAAGTTTTGTTCAATAATCCATTGAAACCACTTGTCAATTACTGCTGAGGATGGTTTGGCTAGTAAGCCATCATTTGTAAGTTTTTCAACGAAACAATAACGCGCGCTGTAAACGGACCTTTCGATTAATTTTACAGGACAAGTTGTGGGTTTAAGGTGGTTCTGCAACATCGTTAATTGGACATAAGACTGAAAAGTGAAGCTCCATTTTTTGGGGTCTTCATACATTAAACCCTTAAAAATAATATCTGTATTATTGTTTTATGCAAGATTATTATTTGATTTACCAACAAATTATGTCCGTCTGCGTTTCTCCAAATATCAACGGGCTCTGCTAAGACGCAAATACTTTTGTGTTTGCCGAAATACTCGAGGAAAGTGGTTTTTCCACAGCCAATGTTACCTTCTACGATTACGGTAAAGGGACGGGAATTTTTCTGTTTTAGAGCCATTTTCGTTATTAAATTCTTAACCGATTGCATGTTAAACTAATTTTTGTGAAATGTTGTACAAACAAAAAACATGATTGAAACTTAACCTCAAATACCTACCTGGTTGATTTACGCTATAAATAAATAAATAAATATTGCTTTTATTATAAATAATATAAGAATTTAGGTATTAAAGGGGCGCTTAAAAAGGGGCTCAATACAATAGTAATAGTAATAGGCCTTCTTGAATGGGAGGTATTTTTTAAAAAAAAAAAACTTCAATTTTTTGTCCATAGATGGCGCTAGTGAAATAAGAGGTTTTTCCCGTTATTTTTACCTTCTATATTATCAGTTTTTCAAAATAGTTCCATTATAGCCCCTTTTTCATAATTGGTTTTAATAATTTTCCATTAATATAACAAAAATAACCTTTAACTAATTACAGTTTCCTTTTTTTTTCCGCCATTTTTTTTTTTAAAAACCTAACCTCAAAATTTATTCGACATCTTGTCTTGTAACCTTAGACCAACTTGTGACAGTGAAAGGGTCAATCAATTTTTGATTAATTTTCTAATTAATTAAACGGTAAGTTTTAGCCCCCCTTAAAACATACCAAATTATTACTTTATTTTAGCTCATTTAAAAACCATGTCTCCGCCATATAAATTAACCTACTTCGACATTATGGGTCTAGGGGAACCCCTTAGAATTTTGCTCAGCTACGGCAACTTGGACTATGAAGATTTCCGGGTGCCGAGAGAAAACTGGCCCAATTTGAAAGCTTGTAAGTTGGGGTTTATTCATCTTCCGATAAACTTGCTATCTGCAAGATAAATTGACCAATCTTGACAGTGCGGTCAACAGGTTTTATACAGGGCATTATAAATACCGGCCTTAAACTAAGTGGGGTTATATCAATCGCTTGTTAAGTCTTTGTTAGTTAACAAGTACCTTAGAACTTGTTGATGTTCATATGATATTATTATTGTGCAACACATTCTACGGTTATTGTTAGCTAACAAACACCTACCAAATGATAGATCCAGCGGCCCAAGTGCAACTAGATCAATCGTTTGATAAATATTGGTTAGTTAACGACAACCTTATAGTCCTTATAACAAATTCTGATAGTAGAACCAGTCTTTTTTATCTCTTTCTTATACAAGTTGGTAGAAAGGGACACAAATACACTCAGTTATACAGTGTAGTCATTTTATCTTGATAACATTTTAAACTGTCATAATTTCCCAACAAACACAGTACGTACTGAAGACGTACATTTTAGGTCCGTTTTACGTCGGTTCGTCGGGGATGTAAAACTACGTTTTGAGTACGTACGTAAAAGGCTGTATTAATATACAGACAAAAAAGTACGTACCAAGAACGTACGTGAAAATCTGTAATGCGTACGTCTTATAAAAGACGTACATGTTCGTTTCAAAGACGAACAATACAAGACGAACTGGATCATTACCATCTATTCATGATTTTTTTTATTAATTTCTGATCATGATATATTATTTATATAATATGCAATTTCCGAGCAAAAGATACGGGAGTGGTAGCCTTCCAAATTAACCTCCAAACCTAAACCCAAAAATGCCGGTCAGATTGACATGAATTTCCTTAAACCTTAGATCTAAACTTAATAAATACGAATACATAGTCATTATGAACGTTTTGTGAGGCAGGTCATATTATATAATCAAGGATTTATATTTCATTTAGGTACCTGACCTAAATAAATGGTCAAATTTCAAGATAAGATAAAGATGAAATAAAGCATTGGACAGCAAGGGACGTCGGCCGCTTGACAACAGCAGGGTGCAGTGTTGCCAAGGACCCGATAATTATCGAAATCTACCATCATTTTGACTACATTTCAATAATCGATAATCACAAGCTAAATCTACCATAATTGAATGAAACTACAATTTCAATGCATATCTTTAAAATTTTTAGTTGAAAATTAAACATTTATTTGGTTGGTGGTTTTGACCTCAGGTTTTGAAGTACGGGTGATCGCACCAAATACTTCCCAGCTAGAAATGAGTTGACCTCACAGCACCGTTAGTTTTTGGTTAATTTTTTTGTTAGAAAAATATAGAGATTAGAGATGAAAGTCAAAGAAATTGACACAAACTTTTTGTGATAATTTTGAATTTGACATCTGGCAACACTGGCATCTTCGACCACAGCTTATCGGTTCATCTGTTCATTATTTTGATGTGACGCCTCGCTTGAGTTGTTCCTGCCTGCTTTTGCCTTTTTCTCTTGTGTTTGTTTGTAGAGTGTTGTGTTGGTGTTAGGTTTTGATTTCTTCTATTTTTGTTTTTTTTGCCAAATTAAGTGACGCGAGAACCATTTTGTATTGATTGCAGCAACGCCGGCATGTGTTTCAAGTGTTTAGCTTCATAGCTTGGCAGCTTCGCGGCTTGGCTATACACTTTACTATATTTATTTTTTGTGTATAATACATAATACTTTTATCAAGATTATTACTGTGTGAAACTTTTTTTGGTTTATGCCCTTTTACAATTTTCTATATTATTATGTTTGTTTTATAGGATACCTACCTATTTCTGTACCTACCTATATTTTTTTAAGGTTGGAATTTTTCTTCACTTTTCCTTAATTTTTTTTGTTATATTATGTACTGTTGTTTAAGGTTAAGTTTAAGTTTAAGAGTATGTTATATTTGATATTGTGTTAATTTTTTTCAGTTTTTCAGTGTAATTGTTACGGTATTTATTAAGTATGAAAATTGTAACTTGAAAATACAATACATAATTATATGGTTTTATTTTTCACTATAAAGATACCTACACATAAATACATATCTACCTCTATGTTTAGGGTTTTCTCCATATATTTTAGCTCCCCATCTGGACAGGTTAGTTGAATAGGTATAAAAAAGGTGTAAACACAACATTTGTATTTACATCTTTTTGATACCTATTCAATCAACCAGTTCCGGTAGGGTACAAAAATATATGGGAAAACCCTGTACGTCCCAAATACATGCCTGAAAAGCTATACTAAATACGTACGTTAATGTACGTCCCCAATACGTACTTAAAAAGCCGTACTGAGTACGTCCCTGAATGTACGTACGTCGGACGTACTATTTTGTGGAAAACGACCGTCTTAAAGACGTCCTTCGGACGTCGGCGGGACCTAAAAAGTACGTCCACGGACGTACTTTCGTCCGAAAAAGTACGAATTATGGACGTACTAAAGACGTACTTGTGTTTGTTGGGTTCTTTCCTTTTAAAGTTATTTTAATAAATAAAAAAACATACTGTAGGGTTGCTTTCAAAGTTTTAGATAGGATGGACAAAAAACAAAAGACTAATATATTTTGACAGCTATGCACATAAATAGCATTTTTTCAAATGGAACGCCCAGTAAATTTTAGGTTTGTTTGATATTTCATTTATTCTTACTGAAAATATTGATTACCTGACAGATTACCTGCAAAGGTAGGTGGGTATACAGAATTTTCCATTAGAATAAATAAAACATTTCTGCATGTAAATATAAAGTAAATTGTATTTAATTTTATTGTATTGTATATATTAGTAGAGTGCTCCTTTTAATATATTTTGACTTTTGTGGGCGAGTCGGAGTTACAAGCTGAAATTTTCACATAATGAAGATTTTATTATGTTAATTCAAAATCCCAAAGTAATATAAAATCAGAACGGACAGAAGGGCACCATAATCAAAAATTGAGATTATTGCGTACATATAGAATATTAATTTATGACTATTTTCATATATTTCGTAATGGTAGATTAATTGAGAAAGCGGGTCAAAATTAGTGGAAAACAACCCTGACATCAAAAGTCATTTGAAGACTCACCTATTAACACACTTAGATATTTATCCTTTCGAATGTGACCTCAACATAGAGATGATAGGACTATGACATCAGTAACTACCTTTCCATCTCCAGTATTCATGAAAATCACCATCTGATATCGATAACTACCAATATTTTGAAGAGACTGGGGCTCTGACATGGTTTTTACTCCTGACCATCTCCTCACTATCATTTATATTAATGGGAATATATCATAATATGGATAATAATAGGATAATGAAGAGATTCAAGTAAAATTATATGAAAAAGGAATTTGAAGAGTCACATGATAATGCTTGGATATTCAACCTCTTGAATGTGACACTTGCAAAGTAAAATTTATACATAAATCGGATTTGAAGACTCACAAATCAACACACTCGAATATTTTATCCTTTTGAATGTAACACTTGTAAAGCAAAATTTAAAAAAAAAAAGTCATTTGAAGACTCACCTATTAACACACTTATATATTTATCCTTTCGAATGTGACCTCAACATAGAGATGATAGGACTATGACATCAGAAACTACCTTTCCATCTCCAGTATTCATGAAAATCACCATCTGATATCGATAACTACCAATATTTTGAAGAGACTGGGGCTCTGACATGGTTTTTACTCCTGACCATCTCCTCACTATCATTTATATTAATGGGAATATATCATAATATGGATAATAATAGGATAATGAAGAGATTCAAGTAAAATTATATGAAAAAGGAATTTGAAGAGTCACATGATAATGCTTGGATATTCAACCTCTTGAATGTGACACTTGCAAAGTAAAATTTATACATAAATCGGATTTGAAGACTCACAAATCAACACACTCGAATATTTTATCCTTTTGAATGTAACACTTGTAAAGCAAAATTTAAAAAAAAAAAGTCATTTGAAGACTCACCTATTAACACACTTATATATTTATCCTTTCGAATGTGACCTCAACATAGAGATGATAGGACTATGACATCAGAAACTACCTTTCCATCTCCAGTATTCATGAAAATCACCATCTGATATCGATAACTACCAATATTTTGAAGAGACTGGGGCTCTGACATGGTTTTTACTCCTGACCATCTCCTCACTATCATTTATATTAATGGGAATATATCCTAATATGGATAATAATAGGATAATGAAGAGATTCAAGTAAAATTATACAAAAAAGGAATTTGAAGAGTCACATGATAATGCATTTGGATATTCAACCTCTTGAATGTGACACTTGCAAAGTAAAATTTATACGAAAATCGGATTTGAAGAGTCACAAATCAACACACTAGAATATTTATCCTTTTGAATGTAACACTTGTAAAGCAAAATTTTAAAAAAAAAGTCATTTGAAGACTCACCTATTAACACACTTAGATATTTATCCTTTCGAATGTGACCTCAACATAGAGATGATAGGACTATGACATCAGAAACTACCTTTCCATCTCCAGTATTCATGAAAATCACCATCTGATATTGATAACTACCAATATTTTGAAGAGACTGGGGCTCTGACATGGTTTTTACTCCTGACCATCTCCTCACTATCATTTATATTAATGGGAATATATCCTAATATGGATAATAATAGGATAATGAAGAGATTCAAGTAAAATTATACAAAAAAGGAATTTGAAGAGTCACATGATAATGCATTTGGATATTCAATCTCTTGAATGTGACACTTGCAAAGTAAAATTTATACGAATATCGGATTTGAAAAGTCACAAATCAACACACTAGAATATTTATCCTTTTGAATGTAACACTTGTAAAGCAAAATTTAAAAAAATAAGTAATTTGAAGACTCACCTATTAACACACTTAGATATTTATCCTTTCAAAATTTTCCAAATCTTGACATGGTCATGAATAATTGCCCCTATCTTTGGTACATTTCAAACAAATTAAAATAAATTATACATTGGAAAGAGCCCTAAATTCTCTATAAATTTGTGCAAAATTGAGTTCGATAGCTCGGATAGTTTTTGAGCAATTGAGCCTCAAAGTTGCTTTTCAGTCCAAATTTTGTCAAAAACTTCAAATTCAATTTTGAATATTCTGCCCTTTTGCTTGTTCGGACTTTGTATTACCTTGGGATTTTGAATTAGCATAGTAAAACCTTCATTCTGTGCAAGTTTCAGCTTGTAACCCCGATGCGTCCACAAAACTCATTTTAAGAAGGATTTAACTGCGTTGGGCACTCTACTATAATATTGTAATCAGAATGAAACATATTATCAAACAAACTAAAAATTTACCGGGTGTTCCATTTAAAAAAATGCAATCTGTGTGCATAACTGTCAAAATATATTAGGGAGGATTTTCATGCATCCGTTTTTCCGACGAAATATGTCCGTTTAACATTCTATTTTGACATATTTATATACGATTATGTCAGAATAGAATGTTAAACGGACATATTTCGATGGAAAAACGGATGCATGAAAATCTTCCCTAAATTTTTTGTTTTTTGTCCATTCTATCTAAAACTTGGAAAACAGCCTTACAGTGTGTTTTTTTTATTTATTTAAATAACTTCAAAAATAAAGAAATTATGACAGTTTGAAATGTTATCAAAATAGAATGACTACCCTGTACAATCTTGGTTCAATTCAAAACAAGGTTCAGCTGAACTTAACTGGTACTTGAACTACTCTAAATTTATTGCTGTCAAAGTTGATATAGAATTTGACAGCTGACAGTAATGTATTTTATATGGGAAAGCTCAAGTACCAGTGGAGTCCAGTTGAACTTTTTTTTGAACTGAAATTATACAACATACAACTGGGCCATGTTGGTATTACAGGTGTCTCGTTTGGGCATTAAATTCAAACTTTCAAATTTTCTAAAGCCTACTTTGTCACTTGTCAAACTGTCATGTTGCCAGCGTTGAACATTGTCAACTTGAAGTAATGGTGTTGTTATTACTTCATTTTCTACTGAGCTATTTTAACTATACAGTGAGGACATAAAGTCCGTCGCCCCCCTCTAACTTTTGAATCACTCAATACATTGCAAAGAAATTTTGAATGATGATATGTGACCAGATTCTTCATGTTTTGAAAAACAAATGACAGCTTCAGCTGTCAAAATGACAGCTAGGTTCAGTTTTGAAACGTTTTTTTAAATAAGAAGGCGGTGTCGAATGATATATCGTTTTAAAGGTATCTTTATTCTAAATTTAATCCCCGATTCTGAAAACATTTGGTTTAGCGGTTTTCGAATGATGATGAAAAAACAAAGGCTTGTTTTGCTCATAAACACTCTTATGAGCAGAATAAACCTTTGTTTTTTCGACATCATTTGAAAACCGCTAAACCAAATGTTTTCAAAATTGGGGATTAAATTTAGAATAAAGATACCTTTAAAACGATATATTATTTGACACCGCCTTCTATTTGAAAAAACGATTCAAAATTGCGCCTAGCTGTCATTTTGACAGCTGGAGCTGTCATTTGTTTTTCAAAAAATTTAGAATCTAGTCACATATCATCATTCCAAATTTCGTTGCAATATACCAAGCGGTTCGAAAGTTAAAGGGGGGGGGGAGCGACGGACTTTATGTCCTCCCTGTATAATACCTTGGTTACGATAATTATAAACAGGATTTTAATTCCTGCGCGGGACTTAAGGATATCATAATTCCCAAGGGAGTTAAGAATTTTCATAACTCCCGTTTTTACCTTGAATAGGTGAAACTTTGACAAAAAATATAAACTTTGATGTATGGTTTATTTATGGTAAAAAAATGGGCAAAATTCAGTAGGAAATAATAGTTATTTATGTATCAACAGAATTATAAGGGTGTTGATATTCCAAGGTAAAGTTTGTATCCTTCGGGCCTTCGGCCCGAGGGACACTAATGACTCGTGGGTATTAACACCTGATAATTCCCGTGGTACATAGATAATTTTATTTTCCAGTGAATTTACTGTATTTTGTCCATTTTTATAAAGGAATAAACCATAAGACAAAATTTCTATTTTTTGTCAAAGTTTTATCTCCTCAAAGGTAAAAGCATGAGTTATAGAAATCCTTATCTCTCGCGCGGGAGTTATAAAATCCCTAACTCCCTTGGGAGTTAAGACCCTGTTTATGATTATCGTGACCAAGGTATTATATGGGTATAATAGTTCAGTAGGAAATAAAATTATCTATGCACCACAGGAATTATTAGATGTTAATACCCACCGGCAATTAGTATCCTTCGGGCCTTCGGCCCTGGGGTATTAACATCCTCATAATTCCCTTGATACATAAGCAACTATTTTATAGATAAGAGAATCAAGAGCCGGTAATAGACAAAAATTGAGACAAATTCATACAGAGCAAATGTCTCTTTATCTCTTTTTTTATACAAACTATTGACAGTTGTCATGTATTTACCCTATACAAAATCAATTTGAAATCACGTGTAAAAATATCTGTAGCCATAGACGTATCCAGAATTTACGTTGGAGCGGTGTTAACAAAAAGTGTTGAGAGAGAGAAAAAAAAACGCCGTAGGTGAAAACATTTTTTGAAGCCACGCCCAATTTTTGCTAGCAATTTTAAGGAAGCATTGATTTTTTTGCTGCATAAGGCGAACCGCCACTGTAGTCATAGAAAAACCTTATTGAGTGTGAAATAAATTTTATTTATATTTATTTTTTTCACAAATAATATACATGAGTTACATAAAATACGCTGATAAAATAGTTTAGCCCGATAACGTTATCTCACTAACACTAGGCCTCGCCTTAGGTCCCTTTTTTTATTACCTCGTTTTTTCGAACTTGTCTACATTAAACTAACAAACGATTGATCGACCTGTACTAATCCTATGGTCAAATTGTATTATACCTAAAAGTTTATCAGAAGGTGAATAAATCGGGCCCTAATTATTGTATTTGTTTTAGCGATGCCTTTCGGGCAAATGCCCGTTTTGGAACACGCCGGCAAAACTTACCATCAAAGTATGGCGATTGCCCGATTCCTGGCTAAGAAAGTTAAGCTTGTGGGCAAAGACGAGTTTGAAGATTTGGAAATCGATGCCGCTGTCGATACTATCAATGATTTTCGCACTAGTAAGCAACTCGACGTATTATGCCCTTTGAGGTTTTAAAATTCATTAGTTCAATATGGGTTTCTTATTCTTGTACATTGACAAACATAATATACAGAGTGCGGCATAAATGGGGGGGTAAACAAGACAAATTCTTCCCGGGGCCTGTAAGAACGGGGGCCCGGATTATACGTTTGAATTTTGCTCTACAAGTGTCACATTCAAAAGGATGAATATCTGAATATGTTAATATGTGATTCTTCAAAACCCCTTTTCGCTTAAATTTTGCTCTACAAGTGTCACATTCAAAAGAATAAATATCCAAATGAAATGTTGAAATATGATCTTTTAAATTGAGGTTTCGTTTAAATTTGGTATTGCAAGTATCCCATTCGAAAGGATAAATATTCGAGTGTGTTAAAATGTGTTCCTTTAGATTGCCTTTTCGTTTGAATTTCGCTTTGCAAGTGTCACATTCGAAAAAACAAATATCCGAATGATATTTCAAGCTTGTTTCGGTCTTAAATACAGTATTGCACATAAAACATTGGAACTTCCTAATATTCCCGAGGCCCCTAAGACCTTGGGGGCCTGAATTTTAATAGGGAGGAGGGGGGGACTAAAAAAAAAAGAAAGAGGGAAAAGAGGCCCGTTATTATTTTTTTTACCAGGGCCTGACCCAGCTCTCGGCGGCCCTGCTGATTACATTAATACAGACACAGCAACGCAACTTCGTCTATATTGGGTCTATTGTTGCATTTTTTGACAATGAGCTTACAGTCAATAATTTTCCTTTTAGAAGTTGGAAAGTACCACTACGAATCCGATGAAACTGCCAAGGAAGCTTACGGCAAAGTTTTATTCAGCGAAATCGTACCTTTCTATTTGGAAAAGTTGGACGGCATCGCCAAAGAAAACAACGGTTATTTCGTTGGAGGCAAAGTAAGCAATAGGGGTATTCATTTATATAGGAGCTGCTATTTATGAGCTTTTATGCGAGACAAGTGAACGCCGATATACTCTTGAGATCTGCTTGAAACAAGAAAAACAGTACAAAAAAATAATTGTTTTTTTTTTTTTAGTTAACTTGGGCAGATTTGGTATTTGTCGGACTCATTGACTACATGAACTTTATGGCTAAAAAAGACCTGATTGCTTCAGCTCCCAACTTGCAAAAGGTCAAGGAACATGTTGTGCAAGTACCCAGTATCCAGCAGTACATGGCCACAAGACCAAATAAACATTAAATTTTGCTTTTTTTATTTATGAAATTTATTTTGCAAGAAGATGTTCACAATAAATTATCTTTTGAATTACGTAAAATTTGTCTTGTTTGAAGGAATAGGGGTAACGTTATTGCTCTTAACGTTAAAATAACGTCCTTTTTGAAAAACACTCTAATTTGGACATAAAAAAAAAAAACGTTTTAAGTTTCATCCTCTTACGTTTCCAAAGTTAAACAGACTTGGCAATAAGGCACATCTCTCTTTTCCATTGCCAATGGTGAGGTTATGAGTTTCTATATAATACACACGGTGGTTGTTGAAAAAATAAATTGCAAAATTCCACCTTAAAAGGTTGATTTCAGAAATAAAAATGTCCAAAACATGTTTTAATTAGGCCAGATGGTGTCTTAATTAATTTCCCAATTGAATTTTTAACAGGGTCAAAGACCATTTCAGCAAGACAGACCGGGGCATTGTTTGTTACAAGTAGGTGCAGTTAAGTATGCTAACGTGTAATAAAATCCTACTACGCATATAATTTTTTCGCATTTCAATAATATAAGGGGTTTTGTGGCAATCAATTATCTTATCTCGATTTAAAAAAAATAGAATTTTCACAGCCATGGGATTTGATGACGTTATTCCATTGTTGGGCGATTTCGGAAAATACCAAAAAAGAATCTATTTTTTACTGTGCCTTCCTGCCATTACGTCTGCTTTTCACAAATTGGGAAACGTTTTTCTTTTAGCTGAACCACAATATAGGTAAAATCATTAAATCTATTATTATACACAATCTTATCTATTATTATCTTAAAATAGATGCCGACGTCCTGATGAGTCTGTAGACAGCGTCTACAACCTCAGCAATGCGGAAATGGAAAAGTGGTACCCTTTTGATGTTTTGCACCAGAGATTTTCCTCTTGTTTGATACGGTCTGGTAATGCTACTGCAAAATGTGCTGATTTTATTTTCAGCCATCAGGATTATGGGCATACAACAGTCATAGAGGTAATTCCAACTACAAAATTACTAGTTTTTATAGGGGAGTTTAGCAAAACTTCTAGATAACTACTAATTATATAATATACAGGGTGTTTGGCGGAGGGTTAGCCAAACTTGATGCGCGTATAAGGTCCATTTTGAAGATATTTTCTTAAAACATTAGTGCCCTCAAGGTTCCCTTTTTGTATTATTCTCAGGATTTGTCAAAAAATGGACCTTTTGACTTCTGTAACCTTTTAACTGTCTGATATTAGATCAAAGATATTCTACAGATCAAAAACACACTGAAAAAATATTTTCATAAACATTTTAAAAAAAGTTACAGCACTTAAAAAGTTCATTTTTGGAAATTTTTGAGAAAAAATGATAAAAGAACTTACGGCCAATTTCATAATCAACTTAAAGTAATAAGCTTTAAATTTAAAGCTCCATTTGAAGTTGAAAAATCCTATCCCAAATGAAGCTTTAAATTTAAAGTTCACTTTAAGTTGATTATGAAATTGGCTGTTAAGGATATTGAGGCTCAAAATCAAAATACTCGGTTATAACTGCACATTTTATGATGTATAATTATATATTTTGAATCAGAATTAAATTATCTTTAAGACAGAATAAGATTCAATTCTCTATCTCAAATACTTCTGGAAATATTGAGGCTCAAAGTCAAAACTTTGTCTCAAATTTCACAAAAGATTCAAAGCTAATATTCTCGGAAACGAAGCCCTTGGGTCCGGAGTCTCAAATAACCTTTTTTATAGCCCTTCTTCAGAGCTACAATTGAGCAAAAGATTCATGCCGATAGCTTCACTGGTTTCCAAAATATGGTCCTTTGAGATATTTGAAAATTTTAAGATTTATTATATTTGAAGAAGATACTTCAATTATGAATTCCTGGAAGTTTCAAGTTGCTCAGATTTCTGAAAGTATTTTTGAAAAAATTCCAAAGTTGATTTATTAAGAATTCTACAAGAATTTTTTAAAAAAATTAATAATTCTGTTTCTGAAGCTCAGATTGAATTCAGAATTATTATATTTAAAGAAGATACTTCAATTATGAATTCCTGGAAGTTTCAAGTTGCTCAGATTCCTGGAAGTATTTTTGAAAAAATTCCAAAGTTGATTTATTTTAAGAATTTTACAAGGATTAAAAAAAAAATTCATAATTCTGTTTCTGAGGCTCAGATTGACTTCAGAATTATTATATTTAAAGAAGATACTTCAATTATGAATTCCTGGAAGTTTCAAATAGCTCAGATTCCTGGAAGTATTTTTGAAAAAATTCCAAAGTTGATTTATTAAGAATTCTACAAGAATTTTTTAAAAAAATTAATAATTCTGTTTCTGAGGCTCAGATTGACTTCAGAATTATTATATTTAAAGAAGATACTTCAATTATGAATTCCTGGAAGTTTCAAATAGCTCAGATTCCTGGAAGTATTTTTGAAAAAATTCCAAAGTTGATTTATTAAGAATTCTACAAGAATTTTTTAAAAAAATTAATAATTCTGTTTCTGAGGCTCAGATTGACTTCAGAATTATTATATTTAAAGAAGATACTTCAATTATGAATTCCTGGAAGTTTCAAATAGCTCAGATTCCTGGAAGTATTTTTGAAAAAATTCCAAAGTTGATTTATTAAGAATTCTACAAGTATTTTTTAAAAAAATTAATAATTCTGTTTCTGAGGCTCAGATTGACTTCAGAATTATTACATTTAAAGAAGAGACTTCAACTATAAATTCCTGGAAGTTTCAAGTTGCTCAGATTCCTGGAAGTATTTTTGAAAAAATTCCAAAGTTGATTTATTAAGAATTCTACAAGAATTTTTTAAAAAAATTAATAATTCTGTTTTTGAGGCTCAGATTGACTTCAGAATTATTATTTTTAAAGGAGATACTTCAATTATGAATTCCTGGAAGTTTCAAATAGCTCAGATTCCTGGAAGTATTTTTGAAAAAATTCCAAAGTTGATTTATTAAGAATTCTACAAGAATTTTTTAAAAAAATTAATAATTCTGTTTCTGAGGCTCAGATTCACTTCAGATTTATTATATTTAAAGAAGATACTTCAATTATGAATTCCTGGAAGTTTCAAGTTGCTCAGATTCCTGGAAGTATTTTTGAAAAAATTCCAAAGTTGATTTATTAAGAATTTTACAAGGAGTTTTTTAAAAAATTAATAATTCTGTTTCTGAGGCTCAGATTGACTTCAGAATTATTATATTTGAGGAACATTGTACGGTTTCCTGCTGTGTTGGGTCATTATTGCAACAAATATAATATAAAATTATATATTCTAAATCAGAATTGAATTATCTTCAAGATAAAATAAGATTCATTTTTTTTATCTCAAATACTCCTGGAGACCACAAGTATATTAAGAAAATATCTTCGAAATGGGCCTATCTATACACCCACCAAGTTTGGCTAACCCTTCGCCAAACACCCTGTATATGAGGTTCTTATGGCAAACTTTATAAAAATTTATTATAAGTAACGATTATTAAAAGTTTTATAATAATATAGATCGAAACAGTTGTATCACCTTACCCAGACAGCTCACAAAGTTTTAAAAACGTCTTTTTCAAGTCTGCATTACGTCTGAATATTTCGTTGAAGACGACTTTAAAATTTCTTATAAAAATGTTCTAAAGACGTCTTCAGGCAGATGTCTGAAAGACATTATGTTCTTAAAGATGTGTTTAAGACGCATGGAAAACGTATAAGCAAGACGTCTTGATTATGTTGTTTGTAGACATCACTCTGATAAGCTGAACTCAACTGGAGAGGTATTAGAATCCTATTCCTGGCTCTTCAAAGAGACTAAATGCACTGATTTCTGTCTCCTAAAATGACATTTGAGCTGAGAGGAGGTTGCTATACCGGATTATCGCTGCTGAGTCATGGATTCAATGATATTCGGTGGTATTTCGGATATATTGGGATTATTGAATTAGCGTGGAATTTTCGACTCTCAAAATTAGCTTTGATTACTTAAAAAACTGTTAAAACAATTTAGAAATTATTGAAAAACTTCTAGGGATGCTCTAGAACTCTTCAAGCTAAATTAGAACACTTTAGAACATCGATGAGCTATTTAGAACGTTTCAGAAAAACTTCAAAACAATTTAAAAACCTCAAAATTAGGGTCAGGACGCCTGGAATAGACAAAAATTGAAAGTTGTTTTTGTCTGGGTATTACATACTTATAATCTTATAAAACCTTTATATAAATACACAGTTAGTTGCTATTGAATTTCAGTGGAACTTGACATGTGAAAAAGCCTACCTAATAGCCACATGCAACTCGATGTTCATGGTAGGCGTAATGCTAGGCTCAATAATATTCGGAGAAACATCAGACCGATGGGGCAGAAAGGTAACCTTCCTAATAGCCTCAATCCTGCAAGTTGTATTTGGTATTTTGGCCGCTTACGCTCCGGAATTTTGGACTTTTGCCATATCCAGAATGATTGTTGGAGCAGCTGCTTCTGGGGTGTTTTTGGTCGCTTACGTCATGGGTAAGAATGAATAGTCACTTTTATATTATAAATCTTCAAAAATTGTCTAAATAGGTCTAGAAATGGTTGGACCATCAAAACGTCTAGTGGCTGGCACAGTGATTTTCATATTCTTCTCAGGCGGTTACGTTTTGATTGCTTTATTGGCTAAACTCTTATCAAATTGGAGACATTTGCAGTTGGCCCTTACCTTCCCAGGAATTTTGTTCATCTTTTATTGGTGGTAAGTCAAATAGACAAAGGTGGACACGTAAATCATTGAACCTTTTAATATTTTTCTTTTTTTAATAATGTAAACATTCTAGACCAAAGAGGAGTCAACATAGGAGAAGACAAACGGAGTCCATTAAATTGAGTAATGCAACTATTTTGTAATTAGAAAATATTTATTCACTACTGATAGGGCGTAAACGCTTTTAGGCTTATTCCAGAGTCTGTCAGATGGTTGTTGTCCAAAAATAAGACCGTCGAAGCCAAACAAGTCATTCAAAGGTGCGCCAAAATCAACAGAGTCACAATAACTGAAGCCAAATTAGACGAACTATTGAAAAAGGGTGAAGAAACCAAAAAAGAAGAATCTCAAATGACTGCATCAGTTGTCGACTTGTTTAAACATTCCAATTTACGCAAAAGATCACTTATAATATTTTTTGATTGGTAATTAATTTCCAATACTTATTTTATTCTCAATTGTATTAATTTATTCATATCATAGGTGCGCCAACAATATAACTTATTATGGCCTCTCTTGGAATACAAACAATTTAGGAGGCAATCCATACTTAAACTTTGTAATATCGGGCGCAGTGGAAACTCCTGCCAATATTTTCACTTTGCTTACCTTAAACCGATGGGGCAGGAAAAAGATTTTATGCGGTAGCATGATTGTAGCTGGAAGTGCCTTATTAGCAACTACAATAACACCAATAAGTAAGTTTATATTATTAAATTAATTGAAAATACTTAATATATTTATCTTAAATAGATTTAGTATGGCTCAGCGTGTTTCTAGCAATGTTAGGCAAAATTGCTATTACAGTGAGCTACGGAACTGTGTACATATTTTCAGCTGAACAGTTTCCTACTGTGGTGAGAAATGCAGGCTTGGGTGCCAGCTCTACTTTTGCCCGATTAGGCTCTATAGTAGCCCCCTATATTAACATAATGGCCCACTTTTGGCAGCCTTTTCCGCTTTTGGTTTTTGGAATTTTGGCCTTTATAGGAGGATTGTTGTCTCTATTGTTACCGGAGACTCTAAATAAAAAACTACCCGAAACTTTAGCAGAAGGAGAGGCTTTTGGAAGGTATATAAATTGAATTATTTGTTGTTGAATAAATATTATTGTTAATACTTATAGGAAAAGGAAAAAAGATATACCATTGGAAATGGTTGTTCCAAATGAGGCAGAAGTCACCCTACTAAATACTGAAACAAAGCAGAATTAATGAAATGCATTTTTAATTTGTTTACCAAGTAGTATTAAAAAGACTAATTTTTAACTTAACTTTAAGTCCAAAAACTCGAATTTTGTTAATTGTTATTTGAGCCTTAAACTAAGTAAATTTTATAAATAAATATAATATTTTACATATCAAATGTCCTTGTATTTTATACACAATTCAATTTATTGAAATTTAGGGCTAGTTTCACAAACAGTGATTATCACTGGTAGTACACAATACATTGGTCTAGTATCAAACATTTTTGTGAACTTGTGGTTAACTCATAATTAGATAAAACTGAGCCTTAGCTTAATAGGCGTTTGACATGTTGTCAGGTTCCAACAAAGAAGTTAAAATAATTGTAAAAGGACAACAACCTGGTTAAAAAACATTACGACACGCCGCCAGAGAGTCAAGATGTCCAATAGAAATTTAATATGTACAGGGTGTTTTTTTATATATTACACCCCACCTAAAGCCTTTACCTTTACAGGTGGTAAATACAAAAGTTGTACAGAATTTTTAGAAACCAGTGTCAGAAACAAAATTTGAATGTCAGAAATGTGAAATGTTGCATACTTTCAACTTTTTTCAAATGTGATGCTTCGATTCCAAAAATATATAGTTTGTCTATATTTGATTGAACAAATCTCTCATATATTCGGCTCCAAAAATTGTAAAAATAGTATCCTGCTACTGATTTTGTGAACCATTCTACCTATACAGGTAAAAACTGCAGGTAAGATTTGAGGTACTTGGTTTCTCTGATAGTATTTCTAAAATTTTTCGAATCAAATATGTTGAAGACGGTATTATGTATTTACTTTGATTATGGAAGTACAGTATTTGAATAGCAGATATGATAAGTTTACTGACTATTTAATATGAACTTTATTTTCACATACTCTGACATAATGACATACAACAATTAACTGGTAAAGGTGAACAATATAATTTAGTGCATAGTGGACACTACAAATCCTCCCTGGCAAATTTAAAGATTCAGTTTTTCTGGTTGTTTTCTCGTTCTAATACTTCTTCGCAATGTCTCAGCATTTTCTGGTATCTGATTGGGTTTGGTTTTTGATTGGTAAAAAGTTTCAATGTTTTGATCAGTACTTTCCACCGGAAAAGTCTCTTGGTCTCTCGGTTCTTGATCATCTAATATCATCTCCGCCGAAGTGGAAACTTCTGGAGTCGAATCGGAAATTATAATTGTGCTTTTACTTTGCTCAGGATCAATATAAGAAAAATGTTGAGTAGATGAAGCACCTACAACATTATCTCTTGTAGTATTTTCGGTGTCCAGAGTTTGCTTTGCCTCTGGAACATAACAAACGTTAGGCTGTGATACTGGACACTCAACTTTAGTTGAAGCAATATGGTTTATATGTCTTCTGATTATTCTGTCTTCCATTTCAATCAAATAAATAAGATTGCTCTCTCTCTTCAAAATTCTACCAAATTTCCATAGACAATTTTTCCTACTATCAAAATGTCTCACTCGAACGCTTTCGCCCACCATAAATTTAGAAGATGCTTGATTTGCCACCTCAATGGGTTTTTGAAATCTAACTAAATCTAATTTAGTTCGTATGTCTCTCCCATACATTATTTGAGAAGGTGACTGATTATTTGAAGTGTGGGGTATTTTTCTGTATTGCATTAAAAAATTTTGAAGTTTCAAATCAAGATCTCCTGGGTCATCTACCATCTTCTTTAGAGTATTCTTCATGGTTCCCACATATCTTTCAACTTGGCCATTTGATGCGGGATGATATGGTGCAGTAAATTTATGTATAATTCCATTGGTTTTTAGGAAATTCTTAAATTCCTGTGATGTAAAAGATCCTCCATTATCACTAACCAAAGTTACAGGTAAGCCAAAACGTGCAAAAACACCTCGTAAAATTGAAATCGTCTTCAAAGTATTCATGGACTTGGTAATAAAAATTTCAGGCCATTTAGAATATGCATCGCAAATTACTAAAAAGTATGTTCCTTGAAACGGTCCCGCAAAATCAATATGTACGCGCTGCCACGGTCCTTTCGGAGTTTCCCAACAATGCGGTGGAATATTAGTTTTGTTGTGTAACATAGATTGACAACTTTGACATTTCTTAGCCAATTCTTCAATATCAAGATCTATTCTTGGCCACCAAACGAAAGAACGTGCAAGTGATTTCATTCTCACTATACCGGTATGTGCTTCATGTAATTCTTTTAATACTCTTTGACGAAGCGTTTTAGGCACAACAATACGTGAATCTTTTACTATAGTACCTTCGTTTAAAGAAAATTCTATATCTTTCCCTTTAAATTCATTTTCTTCAATTTTCTTTCCAGTTTGTAAACTTTTGTAAACATTTCTTAATATTGGGTCTTCTTGTGTTTCATTAGCAATTTCTCTATGCGTAACTGGTAACGTTAGAATTTGTTGTAACTGATGAATTGTAACGCCATCCATTGTTTGATTGAAAACTGGAGTGATTTTTTGAGGCAATCTCGAGAGTGCATCAGCATTTAAGTGTTTTTCGCTAGAACGATAAATAATGTCATAATTAAAGCCTTGCAAAAATTGAGCGTAATGAAGCATTCGAGTAGCTATCATACTGGGAAGATTTTTGTTTGGATTAAATATAGACACTAGAGGTTGATGATCAGTAATCAGCGTGAATTTTCTTCCATAACAATACTGAAAAAATTTATTACATGCCCAAAAAATAGCAGTTGCTTCCTTATCAATTTGACTGTAGTTTTTTTCAGCTCTCGTTAGACTCCTTGAAGCAAAAACAATAGGACGTTCACCATCAGGAAAAATATGAGATAATACTGCACCCAAACCTTTAGGACTAGCATCGGTTGCCAAAATTAAAGGTAGTTTCGGATTATATGCGCAAAGAATCTGATCAGATGTTATTTCCTTTTTAATTAAATTAAAAGCCTGATCACAGATAGATGTCCATCGGAAAATAACATTCTTTTGTAAAAGTTTGTACAAAGGATGTATTTTTGAAGAAAGATCTTTCAGAAATCTTCCATAGTAAGTGACCAATCCTAACCAACTTTTTAACTCAGTGACATTTGTCGGTACTGGTGCATTCTTGACAGCTTTTATTTTGTCTTCAGTTTTCTCCAAACCCCTGCTTGAAATTTTATGACCCAAATATGTTATGGATTCTTCGAAGAATTTACATTTTTCTTGTTTAATATGAAGACCAGCTTCTTGTAGACATTGTAAAACAGTTCTTACTCTATTCACATTCTCTTGTAATGTAGCTCCTTGTATTTTGATATCATCTAAAAACACACAAACTCCGGGTATTTTATCCAATAGGTTTGAAATGTAACGTTGCCAAATAGCAGGAGCAACTTTGGTTCCAAACATCAATCTATGTACCTTATAATCTCCCTTTTCCGTAGTAATTGCTTGCATTCTTGAACTTTCTTCATCCATTGGCATATGTAAATAAGCTTCGCGAATATCCAAAGTAGTAAAAATTTTCCCTCCGTGCATTGTAGTCGCAAAAATATCTTCTATGTTTGGAATCGGAAATTTATCATTTATTAAAACTTTGTTCAATGTAATTTTGAAATCCGCGCAAAGTCTTACAGAACCGTCACTTTTCATAATTGGTACAACCGGTGTGCCCCATTCACTGTATTCCATTTTAGTTAACACTCCTATTTCTTCTAGTCTATCGATTTCTCTTTCCACTTTTTCCTTCAATGCATAGGGAACTTTTCGAGCAGGAACATAAATTGGTTTTGTATTGTTTGGTAAAAATAATTTAGCTTTATAATTTGAAATTTTTCCAAGACCTGGTTTAAAAACTTCTGGAAAATTATTTTTAAGTTCTTCTATAATTTTTAATTTCAAGAAATCTGGGATATTTTCATTTTGTAATTGACAAATTTCAGGTAAATCGACTTTAATTTTCTGCATCCATTCTCTCCCGAAAATAGGTTCAACTTTCCCTGGTAAAATATATAAATTTAGTAATTCAATTTGATTATTTAATTCAACCTGGAAAGTTGAATAGCCGATAGGTCGAATTATTTCTCCAGTGTAAGTTCTTAAAGGTAAATTTGTTTTTTGCAATGTTTTTTTTGAAAATTTTGCGTTAAACAAATCTTGTGAAATCGATGAAACTGCAGCGCCTGTATCATATTCAAATTTAATGGATTCTCCATCTAATTGAAGATTTAAAAGAATTTTGCCTGGTTTTTTATAAGCCTCAGGTAAGCAATTATTATCTAGTACGTTCATAAAAAATAATTCTTCATGCTGAAAGTTGTTTTCCATTTCCTCCGGTTCTTCTTCCACTTGATGAACATTTTCTCTCCTAGGAGTTCCCCTGCATGCCTTAAACACGTGACCATATTTTAGACATCCTGTACACTTTGAATTTTTGTGCTTGCATGTATTTGCCAAATGTTGTGGATCACCGCATCTGTAGCACTTTCGTTGAAAATTTAACAAATTCGAAGGAGATATGTTTTTTTGTTGTTGTTCAGGTTTAAATGAAAATTTTTTAATTTGATTTTGAAAAGAAGTACTCGCACATGTTTGTAAAGAATGTATTTCTCTGGAATCTTTTTGTGCTAATTCCATAGTTACCCACTGAACAAAATAAGATTACAGTAATAGTGAGGTAACATTACACTGCAAACTTGTAAGGTTATATAAAAGTTTACTGTAATGTTAACGCAGTATTGCGGCAAGTACTGAAACAACCTTAGGGTAATATTACAAATGCAAGGTTTATAAATGATATCCTTTCAGCAATATTACTGGAATATTAGATCAAAACTTCAGAAAACTTACGAGTGTAAGGTTACAAATTCAAATATACCTTAGGGTTACTTGCAATTTATTAGTAAGTTTACTGCAATATTGCATTTTTATTACAAATATATTGGGTTCGCAACTTTACATAAATAAAAAGGTTGGTATATTATGTATATCTATAATTCCCACAATAAATAAATATACTTAGGTGTAAAACAAAACTTAAAAAGTAATATCTCAAAGCAAAATAAATAAAAATTCTAAACACAAAAAAAAACGAAATAGGGTTGACACCATCGTTGACACACAGGACGAAATAGGTACCTACTGGCTGCTACTTATATTGTCACCTGCAACAAAAACAAAATCAGGGAGTACCTAGTTCGGTATTTTTATTATAAAAATTATGCCCCGTCATAGCCACTTTCTTTCTGGTCATGACCAAACGGTTTACGATATTTTTGATCCTAACTAAAATATTATCGTAATATCATAATAAGTAATATAATAATAATAAGGAATTCGTAGGTATGAAAAAAAAAGAGGTTACGGCTTACAAAAACGGGGCCCACGATTCCGCAGTATTTTTGTAAAGTAAAAAGTATTTATTGACTATGTAACCCTTACTCACCTTATTTGAATCCTCATCCATTCTAATCGCTGTATATTTATTTCATTTCCACAGGTTCTAAAATAAAAACTGAATAATAAAAATAACCAAAAAGCAAAGCACAACCTGAACCGATCCAATAAATAATCCAAACACAAACACCAAATATTTAGCCGAGAATCGCTTTACCACAGACATACTCAAGAACTCAACATTCAACAAGCAAACACAGCACTCAACTGAAACGACAAACAGCGACTTGATGGCGTCGATTTGCTTTCGGTTTAGTTCGTATCACCGATGTCGTGCCGATCGTTAATAATGGCGGCAGTTTTCGATTTTCCAGTATATTATTACTGCTATATTGCAGCAAGTTTACATTCGATATTAAATTATAACATTGCAAAATAATGCCAACACAACTTTAAGGCATCTTTGCGATGTAACCTTACCTACAAGTTATATTTCCAATTTTGCAGCAAGTTTACATTTGGTAGTTATTATAACATTACAAAAATTATACCAGTTCAATTTAAATGCATATTTATAATGTTAATTTGCGTACAAGTTATAATTTCTAATATGCGTTAAAATTTCAAGGATATTTCATTTTGTAATTTATTGTTGTAATGTTGTGTCAAAAATAATTCAATATTACATTGGAATGTTGCGAAACTAAGATCAGAGTAATATTGCATTGAGCTTTCGTAACATTGCATGTTCAGTGGGTAGTGCTGTATCAACGCAGTTTTTAAATTTATTATCTGGTTCTTTAAGTTGAATTAGTCTTTCAATTAAATTAGAATTTCGCAGACCACTAATGAACTGAAGACGTAAATGGGCATCAGACGTCGAAGCTTTGCAAGCATCACAGACAAACTTACAATTTGTCGTCATCTTTTTTAATTCAGTTACGTAATTTGCAATAGTTTCCCCTTCTTGTTGGACACGTTTTGTAAAACGGTTTTGCTCTGCGATTATACTTGAAGAAGGATCAAGATGGTTTTGTAAAAGAGAAACCAAAGTCGTATAATCTTTAGATTTAGGATCATCGGGACATGTTAAAGAGTGAATAAGTTGTAGCGTTTTGGTACCCATCGTGTGAAGTAACCATTCTTTCTTTTTAGTATCAATATAGTCTGCGGAACCAGTGAAGTTCTTCATGGAAAAAAAATTGTCTAACCTTTTTATGAACATCTCCCAACTTTCATTTTCTTCTGAGAATGGATCTATTGAAATGGATTCTTGAGTAATTGGAGTAGTATTTTGATTAACTTGTAGAGTCTTTGTAAGTGCAGCCATCAAAGTATTAAATTGTTCAGCATTCATTGTAAAAGGGTTTCTTCGTCCTCGTCGCCAATTTATTATGTATTTACTTTGATTATGGAAGTACAGTATTTGAATAGCAGATATGATAAGTTTACTGACTATTTAATATGAACTTTATTTTCACATACTCTGACATAATGACATACAACAATTAACTGGTAAAGGTGAACAATATAATTTAGTGCATAGTGGACACTACAGACGGCTCAACCAAATATTGACTAAACTATATAGTTTTGGAATCAAAAAATTGTGCTCCAAGAATATAGAACCAAATATAGCATATTCCATTTGAAAAAAGCTGAAAGCATATGCAATATTTTACATATTTGACATTCAATTTTGGTTTTTGAACATGGATTCTAAAAATTTAGCCAATACTGTACAACTTTTGTATTTACACCTTTCATCTAATTGTAGATAATAGGAGAAGGCTGTAGGTGGAGTGTCAATTACAAACAATTTTTTCACTCAAAAACTAAAGTGAGTGGAAGGTTGAAATTTTGAGGACTTTTTCCTAATGATTCAATGTAAAAAATACTAAAAATTCAAAGGGATTGACATATTATTAATGGAGTTACGATTTTTTGAAAATAGTGATGTTTTGTAAAGTAAGAATTTACAAACAATTTTTTCACTCAAAAACTAAAGTGAGTGGAAGGTTGAAATTTTGAGGACTTTTTCCTAATGATTCAATGTAAAAAATACTAAAAATTCAAAGGGATTGAGTTATTATTAATGGAATTACGATTTTTTGAAAATAATGATGTTTTGTAAAGTAAGACTTAACAAACAATTTTTTCACTCAAAAACTAAAGTGAGGGCAAAGTTGAAATTTTGAGGACTTTTTCCTAATGATTCAATGTAAAAAATACCTAAAACTCAAAGCGATTGAGTTATTATTATTGGAGTTACGATTTTCTGAAAATAATGATGTTTTGTAAAGTAATACTCTACAAACAATTTTTTCACTCAAAAACTGAAGTGAGTGCAGAGTTGAAATTTTGAGGACTTTTTCCCAATGATTCAATGTAAAAAATACTAAAAATTCAAAGGGATTGAGTTAATATTAATGGAGTTACAATTCTTTGAAAATAATGATGTTTTATAAAGTAATACTCTACAAACAATTTTTTCACTCAAAAACTAAAGTGAGTGGAAGGTTGAAATTTTGAGGACTTTTTCCTAATGATTCAATGTAAAAAATACTAAAAACTCAAAGCGATTGAGTTATTATTAATGGAGTTACGATTTTTGGAAAATAATGATGTTTTGTAAAGTAATACTCTACAAACAATTTTTTCACTCAAAAACTGAAGTGAGTGCAGAGTTGAAATTTTGAGGACTTTTTCCCAATGATTCAATGTAAAAAATACTAAAAATTCAAAGGGATTGAGTTATTATTAATGGAGTTACGATTTTTTGAAAATAATAATGTTTTGTAAAGTAATACTATACAAACAATTTTTTCACTCAAAAACTGAAGTGAGTGCAGAGTTGAAATTTTGAGGACTTTTTCCCAATGATTCAATGTAAAAAATACTAAAAATTCAAAGGGATTGAGTTATTATTAATGGAGTTACGATTTTTTGAAAATAATAATGTTTTGTAAAGTAATACTCTACAAATAATTTTTTCACTCAAAAACTGAAGTGAGTGCAGAGTTGAAATTTTGAGGACTTTTTCCCAATGATTCAATGTAAAAAATACTAAAAATTCAAAGGGATTGAGTTATTATTAATGGAGTTACGATTTTTTGAAAAAAATTATGTTTTGTAAAGTAATATTCTACAAATAATTTTTTCACTCAAAAACTGAAGTGAGTGTAGAGTTGAAATTTTGAGGACTTTTTCCCAATGATTCAATGTAAAAAATACTAAAAATTCAAAGGGATTGAGTTATTATTAATGGAGTTACGATTTTTTGAAAATAATAATGTTTTGTAAAGTAATACTCTACAAACAATTTTTTCACTCAAAAACTGAAGTGAGTGCAGAGTTGAAATTTTGAGGACTTTTTCTTAAAGATTCAATGTAAAAAATACTAAAAACTTAAAGCGATTGAGTTATTATTAATGGAGTTACGATTATTTGAAAATAATGATGTTTTATAAAGTAATACTCTACAAACAATTTTTTCACTCAAAAACTAAAGTGAGTGTAGAGTTGGAATTTGGAGGACTTTTTCTTAAAGATTCAATGTAAAAAATACTAAAAATTCAAAGCGATTGAGTTATCATTAATAGACTTAGGATTTTTTGAAAATCAAAAACCTAGAATAGTTGAAAATTGAAACTAAAAATCAAAAAATTTGGATCCTCAAATAAGTCAAATACACAAAGTTTATTCAATACAATTAAATGCAATAAAAAAGAAAATCACAATCACATAATTGGTAACTCTAAGGTCCTGGCTCCTAAAAATCCTAATGCTTATCAGACTCCCCATTAAGCAAAGCATTTCCAGCATCGATAACTCCATTCAATTGAATATCAATATTTTTCCTAAAAAAAAAAACCACTCAATCAATAATGAATTTAGTAAATAACAAACAAAATCCATTGACAATTACTTTCCAAAATTCTCCCCTTCTTCAAAAGTTTCGGGCAACTTCCTATTAAGAGTCTCAGGCAAAGTCAAACTCATAATCCCGCCTATTAAAGCCAAACTTCCAAAAATCAACAGAGGCAAAGGCCTCCATATATGAGCCGCAATATTAACATAAGGAGCTATAACAGATCCTACTCTAGCACAAGTTGATCCTGCACCCAATCCAGCGTTTCTTACAACAGTAGGAAACTGTTCAGTTGAAAATATATACACAGCACCGTAGCTGGCTGTAATAGCTAGTTTTCCTATCATTGCTAACATTGTAGATAGCCAATGTAAATCTAAAAATGTTATATGTTTATATAGATTTGATACAGTTTAATATATAGAGACCATTTGGTACAATCATGGTTAAAAGTAGAGCTGTACCAGCAACAATCATACAGCTGCACATAACGTTTTTCCTGCCCCACTTGTTTAATGTCAAAATTAAAAACACATAAGCTGGAATTTCCACTGCGCCTGATATTACAAAGTTTATATAAGGGTTGCCTCCTAAGTTGTTTGTATTCCATGACAGGCCGTAATATGTTATATTATTGGCAAACCTATAATGATAATTTGGTTATTTATAATGTATTAGATATTAGAAGTAAGTAAGTACCAATCGAAAAATATTACAAGTGAACGATTTCTTAAGCTGGGATATTTGAAAATATCAAAAATTGAATGTTGTTTTTGTGCCACCAAGTCTTTTTTTTCCGCAGTGTCTACAAGTAAGCGATCCAAAGTCTCATCTAAAATCTCGACTTTGTTGCACTTTGCAGCCACTTGTATTAAATTCTTGGCTTCTTCTATTCTGCGTTTGCTCACCAACCATCTGGTTGATTCTGGTATCAACCTGTAAAACCATGTTTAAAATGAAGATATTACTAAAAAATTTTAAAGCTACAAATTATATTAAAGTAGAGAAATTGCAAAAAGGTAATTGAAATTTTTCTAAGTTTGAGACAAAGTTTTAATTTTGAGCCTCAATCTCTCCGAAACTATATCATAAAAATGATTCAAATTTGTTTTACTATGAAGGGCATTTAATTTTGATCATGAATATATAAATATGCATTGGAATTCTTGAAATAATAATTGGGTTATGGGCGATTTTGTAAGGCAATGTCAGATAATCAATCAGGGGAATAAAGTTCCAACTTTGAGCCTCAATATCTTGGAAACTATAGCATTTATTTCTGATCAAGAATATATAAACCCCTTACCACCAATAAGACATAAAAATCAATCCAGGTATAGTCAAAGCAAACTGCAATTGTCTCCAGTCGGTTATATAAAGGGCAAACACCGTCGTCAACATGTACCCTACTGAAAAAAACATGTGCATTACAGTGCCTGCTATGGAACGTTTCGAAGCTCCGACCATCTCCAAACCTACAACGTAAGCTACCAAAAATACTCCGGAAGTTGTCGCACCCACTACCGCTCTGGCTATAGTGAAACTCCAAAATTCTGGAGCAAACGCTGCCAGGACTCCGAATACGACTTGGGTTACTAATGAGAGGAAAAAGGTTTTTTTTCTGCCCCATCTACAATAATAATTGTTATTTAGTAACCATTTTGATAAAATCTCTGGAAGTTAACTTTTGGAATGATGTAATTCCAGGAGTTAACTTTTAGTTATTTGTCAGTAATAATACCCACCCTAAATCAATTGTTACATACCTATCTGATAATTCTCCAAAACTAATAGATCCAAACATAACTCCAAACATAAAAAGCGAGTTTCCTATGGCTATTAAATAAGCTTTATCGCAAGTCAAGTTCCACTAAAATTCAAATTATATAGCATTATATTGGAGCATAAAATAAATTACTTCTATAACTGCCGTGTAACCGTAAGTAGTGTGGTCGTAAATATATTCTGAGCATTTCTGAGATATTTTTTCTGAGTCGTTGATTGTGCACAAGGTGCCATTGTGAGGGTACCATTTTTCCAAAATAGATTGGTTTAGGTAGTAGGTGCTATTTGCAGTTTCATAGGGGAGTATGCATCTGCGAAAAAAATGGGAAAATTATTTTATTTTCTGAAAAACTGGATTTGCCAAGTTATAATCAGCCTAATAACATCAAGATCGGATCAAAATTAACAAAGTGTGCTATTTTGATAGAAATCTAAGTTAAGCTATTTTGCAGCTGCGAAATTATTGAAGCTACATTGAAATCATTTATAGGAAGTTTGTAGAGAATTTGATTGGCTTCAATTTAAGCCTATTTACATCAAGATCGGATCAAAATTAACAAAGTTATGATACAAAGTGTGTCATTAAGATAGAAATCTAAGTCACACAATTTTGCAGCTGCGAAACTATTGAAGCTACATTGAAATCAACTACAGGAAGTTTGTAGAGAATTTGATTGGCTTCAATTTAAGCCTAATTACATCAAGATCGGATTAAAATTAACAAAGTTATGACACAAAGTGTCTCATTTTGATAGAAATCTGAGTCACATAATTTTGCAGCTGCGAAACTATTGAAGCTACATAAAAATCATGCAAAGGAAGTTTGTAGAGAATTTGATTGGCTTCAATTTAAGCCTAATTACATCAAGATCGGATCAAAATTAACAAAGTTATGATACAAAATGTGTCATTAAGATAGAAATCTAGGTCACACAATTTTGCAGCTGCGAAACTATTGAAGCTACATTGAAATCATCCATAGGAGGTTTGTAGAGAATTTGATTGGCTTCATTTTAAGCCTAATTACATTAAGATCGGATCTAAATTAACAAAGTTATGACACAAAGTGTGTCATTTTGATGGAAATCTAAGTCACACAATTTTGCAGCCGCGAAACTATTGAAGCTACATTGAAATCATCCATAGGAGGTTTGTAAAGAATTTGATTGGCTTCAATTTAAGCCTAATTACATCAAGATCGGATTAAAATTAACAAAGTTATGACACAAAGTGTCTCATTTTGATAGAAATCTGACTCACATAATTTTGCAGCTGCGAAACTATTGAAGCTACATAAAAATCATGCAAAGGAAATTTGTAGAGAATTTGATTGGCTTCAATTTAAGCCTAATTACATCAAGATCGGATCAAAATTAACAAAGTTATGATACAAAGTGTGTCATTAAGATAGAAATCTAAGTCACACAATTTTGCAGCTGCGAAACTATTGAAGCTACATTGAAATCATCCATAGTAGGTTTGTAGAGAATTTGATTGGCTTCAATTTAAGCCTAATTACATCAAGATCGGATCAAAATTAACAAAGTTATAACACAAAGTGTACTATTTTGATAGAAATCTAAGTCACACAATTTTGCAGCTGCGAAACTATTGAAGCTACATTGAAATCAACTACAGGAAGTTTGTAGAGAATTTGATTGGCTTCAATTTAAGCCTAATTACATCAAGATCGGATCAAAATTAACAAAGTTATGATACAAAATGTGTCATTAAGATAGAAATCTAGGTCACACAATTTTGCAGCTGCGAAACTATTGAAGCTACATTGAAATCATCCATAGTAGGTTTGTAGAGAATTTGATTGGCTTCAATTTAAGCCTAATTACATCAAGATCGGATTAAAATTAACAAAGTTATGACACAAAGTGTCTCATTTTGATAGAAATCTGAGTCACATAATTTTGCAGCTGCGAAACTATTGAAGCTACATAAAAATCATTCAAAGGAAGTTTGTAGAGAATTTGAGTGGCTTCAATTTAAGCCTAATTACATCAAGATCGGATCAAAATTAACAAAGTTATGATACAAAGTGTGTCATTAAGATAGAAATCTAGGTCACACAATTTTGCAGCTGCGAAACTATTGAAGCTACATTGAAATCATCCATAGTAGGTTTGCAGAGAATTTGATTGGCTTCAATTTAAGCCTAATTACATCAAGATCGGATTAAAATTAACAAAGTTATGACACAAAGTGTCTCATTTTGATAGAAATCTGAGTCACATAATTTTGCAGCTGCGAAACTATTGAAGCTACATAAAAATCATTCAAAGGAAGTTTGTAGAGAATTTGAGTGGCTTCAATTTAAGCCTAATTACATCAAGATCGGATCAAAATTAACAAAGTTATGATACAAAGTGTGTCATTAAGATAGAAATCTAGGTCACACAATTTTGCAGCTGCGAAACTATTGAAGCTACATTGAAATCATCCATAGTAGGTTTGTAGAGAATTTGATTGGCTTCAATTTAAGCCTAATTACATCAAGATCGGATTAAAATTAACAAAGTTATGACACAAAGTGTCTCATTTTGATAGAAATCTGACTCACATAATTTTGCAGCTGCGAAACTATTGAAGCTACATAAAAATCATGCAAAGGAAGTTTGTAGAGAATTTGATTGGCTTCATTTTAAGCCTAATTACATTAAGATCGGATCTAAATTAACAAAGTTATGACACAAAGTGTGTCATTTTGATGGAAATCTAAGTCACACAAATTTGCAGCTGCGAAACTATTGAAGCTACATTGAAATCATCCATAGTAGGTTTGTAGAGAATTTGATTGGCTTCAATTTAAGCCTAATTACATCAAGATCGGATCAAAATTAACAAAGTTATAACACAAAGTGTGCTATTTTGATAGAAATCTAAGTCACACAATTTTGCAGCTGCGAAACTATTGAAGCTACATTGAAATCAACTACAGGAAGTTTGTAGAGAATTTGATTGGCTTCAATTTAAGCCTAATTACATCAAGATCGGATTAAAATTAACAAAGTTATGACACAAAGTGTCTCATTTTGATAGAAATCTGACTCACATAATTTTGCAGCTGCGAAACTATTGAAGCTACATAAAAATCATGCAAAGGAAGTTTGTAGAGAATTTGATTGGCTTCAATTTAAGCCTAATTACATCAAGATCGGATCAAAATTAACAAAGTTATGATACAAAATGTGTCATTAAGATAGAAATCTAGGTCACACAATTTTGCAGCTGCGAAACTATTGAAGCTACATTGAAATCATCCATAGTAGGTTTGTAGAGAATTTGATTGGCTTCAATTTAAGCCTAATTACATCAAGATCGGATTAAAATTAACAAAGTTATGACACAAAGTGTCTCATTTTGATAGAAATCTGAGTCACATAATTTTGCAGCTGCGAAACTATTGAAGCTACATAAAAATCATTCAAAGGAAGTTTGTAGAGAATTTGATTGGCTTCAATTTAAGCCTAATTACATCAAGATCGGATCAAAATTAACAAAGTTATGATACAAAGTGTGTCATTAAGATAGAAATCTAGGTCACACAATTTTGCAGCTGCGAAACTATTGAAGCTACATTGAAATCATCCATAGTAGGTTTGTAGAGAATTTGATTGGCTTCAATTTAAGCCTAATTACATCAAGATCGGATTAAAATTAACAAAGTTATGACACAAAGTGTCTCATTTTGATAGAAATCTGACTCACATAATTTTGCAGCTGCGAAACTATTGAAGCTACATAAAAATCATGCAAAGGAAGTTTGTAGAGAATTTGATTGGCTTCATTTTAAGCCTAATTACATTAAGATCGGATCTAAATTAACAAAGTTATGACACAAAGTGTGTCATTTTGATGGAAATCTAAGTCACACAAATTTGCAGCTGCGAAACTATTGAAGCTACATTGAAATCATCCATAGTAGGTTTGTAGAGAATTTGATTGGCTTCAATTTAAGCCTAATTACATCAAGATCGGATCAAAATTAACAAAGTTATAACACAAAGTGTGCTATTTTGATAGAAATCTAAGTCACACAATTTTGCAGCTGCGAAACTATTGAAGCTACATTGAAATCATCCATAGTAGGTTTGTAGAGAATTTGATTGGCTTCAATTTAAGCCTAATTACATCAAGATCGGATTAAAATTAACAAAGTTATGACACAAAGTGTCTCATTTTGATAGAAATCTGACTCACATAATTTTGCAGCTGCGAAACTATTGAAGCTACATAAAAATCATTCAAAGGAAGTTTGTAGAGAATTTGATTGGCTTCAATTTAAGCCTAATTACATCAAGATCGGATCAAAATTAACAAAGTTATGATACAAAGTGTGTCATTTTGATAGAACTCTAAATTACACAATTTTGTAGCTGCCAAACTATTGAAGCTACATTGAAATCATCTATAGGAGATTTGTAGAGAATTTGATTGGCTTCAATTTAAGCCTAATTACATCAAGATCGGATTGAAATTAACAAAGTTATGACACAAAGTGTCTCATTTTGATAGAAATCTAGGTCACACAATTTTGCAGCTGCGAAACTATTGAAGCTACATTGAAATCATCCATAGGAGGTTTGTAGAGAATTTGATTGGCTTCATTTTAAGCCTAATTACATTAAGATCGGATCTAAATTAACAAAGTTATGACACAAAGTGTGTCATTTTGATGGAAATCTAAGTCACACAATTTTGCAGCCGCGAAACTATTGAAGCTACATTGAAATCATCCATAGGAGGTTTGTAAAGAATTTGATTGGCTTCAATTTAAGCCTAATTACATCAAGATCGGATTAAAATTAACAAAGTTATGACACAAAGTGTCTCATTTTGATAGAAATCTGACTCACATAATTTTGCAGCTGCGAAACTATTGAAGCTACATAAAAATCATGCAAAGGAAGTTTGTAGAGAATTTGATTGGCTTCAATTTAAGCCTAATTACATCAAGATCGGATCAAAATTAACAAAGTTATGATACAAAGTGTGTCATTTTGATAGAACTCTAAATTACACAATTTTGTAGCTGCCAAACTATTGAAGCTACATTAAAATCATCTATAGGAGATTTGTAGAGAATTTGATTGGCTCCAATTTAAGCCTAATTACATCAAGATCGGATCAAAATTAACAAAGTTATGATACAAAGTGTGTCATTTTGATAGAACTCTAAATTACACAATTTTGTAGCTGCCAAACTATTGAAGCTACATTGAAATCATCTATAGGAGATTTGTAGAGAATTTGATTGGCTTCAATTTAAGCCTAATTACATCAAGATCGGATTGAAATTAACAAAGTTATGACACAAAGTGTCTCATTTTGATAGAAATCTGAGTCACATAATTTTGCAGCTGCGAAACTATTGAAGCTACATAAAAATCATTCGAAGGAAGTTTGTAGAGAATTTGATTGGCTTCAATTTAAGCCTAATTACATCAAGATCGGATCAAAATTAACAAAGTTATGATACAAAGTGTGTCATTTTGATAGAACTCTAAATTACACAATTTTGTAGCTGCCAAACTATTGAAGCTACATTGAAATCATCTATAGGAGATTTGTAGAGAATTTGATTGGCTCCAATTTAAGCCTAATTACATCAAGATCGGATCAAAATTAACAAAGTTATAACACAAAGTGTGTTATTTTGATAGAAATCTAAGTCACACAATTTTGCAGCTGCGAAACTATTGAAGCTACATTGAAATCAACTACAGGAAGTTTGTAGAGAATTTGATTGGCTTCAATTTAAGCCTAATTACATCAAGATCGGATTAAAATTAACAAAGTTATGACACAAAGTGTCTCATTTTAATAGAAATCTGAGTCACATAATTTTGCAGCTGCGAAACTATTGAAGCTACATAAAAATCATTCAAAGGAAGTTTGTAGAGAATTTGATTGGCTTCAATTTAAGCCTAATTACATCAAGATCGGATCAAAATTAACAAAGTTATGATACAAAGTGTGTCATTTTGATAGAACTCTAAATTACACAATTTTGTAGCTGCCAAACTATTGAAGCTACATTGAAATCATCTATAGGAGATTTGTAGAGAATTTGATTGGCTTCAATTTAAGCCTAATTACATCAAGATCGGATTAAAATTAACAAAGTTATGACACCAAGTGTCTCATTTTGATAGAAATCTGAGTCACATAATTTTGCAGCTGCGAAACTATTGAAGCTACATAAAAATCATTCAAAGGAAGTTTGTAGAGAATTTGATTGGCTTCAATTTAAGCCTAATTACATCAAGATCGGATCAAAATTAACAAAGTTATGATACAAAGTGTGTCATTTTGATAGAACTCTAAATTACACAATTTTGTAGCTGCCAAACTATTGAAGCTACATTGAAATCATCTATAGGAGATTTGTAGAGAATTTGATTGGCTCCAATTTAAGCCTAATTACATCAAGATCGGATCAAAATTAACAAAGTTATAACACAAAGTGTGCTATTTTGATAGAAATCTAAGTCACACAATTTTGCAGCTGCGAAACTATTGAAGCTACATTGAAATCAACTACAGGAAGTTTGTAGAGAATTTGATTGGCTTCAATTTAAGCCTAATTACATCAAGATCGGATTAAAATTAACAAAGTTATGACACAAAGTGTCTCATTTTAATAGAAATCTGAGTCACATAATTTTGCAGCTGCGAAACTATTGAAGCTACATAAAAATCATTCAAAGGAAGTTTGTAGAGAATTTGATTGGCTTCAATTTAAGCCTAATTACATCAAGATCGGATCAAAATTAACAAAGTTATGATACAAAGTGTGTCATTTTGATAGAACTCTAAATTACACAATTTTGTAGCTGCCAAACTATTGAAGCTACATTGAAATCATCTATAGGAGATTTGTAGAGAATTTGATTGGCTTCAATTTAAGCCTAATTACATCAAGATCGGATTAAAATTAACAAAGTTATGACACAAAGTGTCTCATTTTGATAGAAATCTGAGTCACATAATTTTGCAGCTGCGAAACTATTGAAGCTACATAAAAATCATTCAAAGGAAGTTTGTAGAGAATTTGATTGGCTTCAATTTAAGCCTAATTACATCAAGATCGGATCAAAATTAACAAAGTTATAACACAAAGTGTGCTATTTTGATAGAAATCTAAGTCACACAATTTTGCAGCTGCGAAACTATTGAAGCTACATAAAAATCATTCGAAAGAAGTTTGTAGAGAATTTGATTGGCTTCAATTTAAGCCTAATTACATCAAGATCGGATTAAAATTAACAAAGTTATGACACAAAGTGTCTCATTTTGATAGAAATCTGAGTCACATAATTTTGCAGCTGCGAAACTATTGAAGCTACATTGAAATCATCTATAGGAGATTTGTAGAGAATTTGATTGGCTTCAATTTAAGCCTAATTACATCAAGATCGGATCAAAATTAACAAAGTTATGACACAAAATGTGTCATTTTGATAGAAATCTAAGTTACACAATTTTGGAGCTGCCAAACTATTGAAGCTACATTGAAATCCTCCAGAGGAAATTTGTAGAGAATTTGATTGGCTTCAATTTAAGCCTAATTACATCAAGATCGGATTGAAATTAACAAAGTTGTGAGACAAAATGATATGTGTTGGTCAAGGAAAGATGCACCCTTTCACATTTTGATGATTTTTCAAAAAACTGTTCATGGGATAATTGTGAAACTTTCTGAAAGGAAAAGGGAAGAAAAGGGGCTCATTATACTAAAATTTCAAATTGATTTGATGAAAAATGGCAACATGTGAAAATCTTGAAAAGTAACTTAAAAAAACCAAGTCAAGAGTAGATAATACACCCTATCATATTATAATGATTTTTGGAAAAACTGTTCATGGGATAATTGGTGAAACTTTCTAAGTGAAAAGAGGAAGAAGTGGAGCTCATTATACTGAAATTTCGAATTGATTTGATGAAAATTGGCAACATGAGAAAATCTTGAAAAGTATAACTTGAAAAAACCAAATTAAGAGGAATACACCATTTCACATTTTAATGATTCTTGGAAAAACTGTTCATGGGATAATTGTGAAACTTTCTAAGTGAAAAGAGGAAAACAAGGAGCTCATTATACTGAAATTTTGGAATTAATTCGATAGAAAATGGCAACATGAGAAGATCTTGAAAACCAACTTTGAAAAACCAAATCACATTTTGATGATTGTTCGAAAAACCCAAAAATTCGAGCTCCTCCTGGATTTTTTCTAAGTCTTGATCCCTTATGATAATCATAATTAATAAATTTTCCATTAAAAAGAAAATAGGAAGGAAATTCCATATTAACGATGAACGCACTTCAAATTAATAAACGCACCCTTTTAGTGAACCAATACAACACAGAACATCTCTATCTCTTTCTATCTTATACCAAATACAATTGAAAAGAATCATCTTGACAATGAATGCGAACATAACCTCAAAAACCCAAAAACATAAACAAAACAATTTTTCCATAAAAATGTATTTCATATTGATAAGAAAACAACGGGAAACTGATACCCCGCAAGTGTCGCAGCTGGTTCGTACCGGCTACTGCTCCAACATCCGAGACATGTTTATGGGGGCCCTTTTCCACGAAGCCACAGGCCAAATTGCCATAATTCTAACTGCTGTTTTGTTTATTTTCTTCCAAGTTAAACTCCTATATTGTACCCTTTGCTTACCAACAGTTTTACTTATAGTTTACATATACATTTACATAACAGTTTTGATGAAATCGGCCTATGTCATGTATGAAAAGAAACCGTTGGTTGCTTGGGTGGCAGAAGCTTACGAGCCTTTTTTCAATACTAGAGATCCTAAAGAATGTGTTTACAAAGTTATCAACGAAGATGAATTGAAACAAACACCAGAGGGAAGGAAAAAGGTAACAACATTTTACTTTTTAACAAATAATTTCTTATTCTTCCATACTTTATATAACCAAGTATATCATTTATTGTAACTCATCAAAATATACTTCATCAAATCTCTTATAAACCTCCAAAGGAACTTGTTTTAAATTATTGTCTTGTAAATCTATACTTTGTCCTTTAAGGCCTTCAAAACCCCCTGCACTAATTTTAGTAATATTATTACCATTAAGCAACAATGAGTTTATATAATACACTCCTTTGAAACAATTTCTTTCTATTGTACTTAAATTATTCATACTTAAATCTATATAACTGTTGCTATTTTTAGTTGAGTCAAAAACATTCCAGAAAAAATAAGGCTCTATACGTACAAGCTTGTTGTTACTTAAATTTATCTGTCTCAAGTTGGTTGTTTTGAAGAAAATATTTGAGTTTAAACTATATAACTTATTGTGGCTTAAATCTAAAGTCTCTAGATAAGGCAACTTGTAAAAAGCATGCTCAGAAATATTTTCAATACAATTGCCTACAAGTAAAAGCCTTGTAACATCCAAACAACTAAAAACATTACCCACAATCACTTGTATATTATTCAAATGTATTTTTATTATTCTAAGACTGGTAAGGTTGTAGAAGGCATTTGGCTCAATATTTTGTAGCCCACATTCACTTATGGTAATATATTTGAGCTTTGGCAAGTTTTTAAAACTTCCCATTTGTAATAGAGGAATTTTTTGGCCCTCTGCAATGATTTCTGTAGCATAAACTTCATCATCTATTGTCTCAGCACGTTGTAAAATTACTTTTCTATAGTCACGATACACTGTTAAAGTTACACTATTAAATTGGGCCACAATGCAACAAGGCAAAAAAATTATTACAAACAATTTCATGATGATTAATGTTGAACTAAATATTGTGTGGGTCAAAAATAAGGTCAATGTTGTTGTTGTTTTTAGATTATTGGAACTATTGCGGTGATGAAACATTCCTTGCAATCCGATTGGGCATGGCTATACAGGGCGGTTGTCGATGAAAAATATAGACGCAAATCTGTTGCATTGAATTTGGTCAAAGCTGCTCAAGAATGGTGCAAGCTGAACCAATATAATAGAATGGAATGTGCCATGTCTGAGTTTAATGAAGGAGCTAGGCAATTGTTTGATAAAACTGGGTAAATAATAATTACATAAAATTAATATTTATCTTATTTATTTCAATTGTTTTTAGATTTGAAATAAAACAACTGTATCATGTGAATCAATTTGGCAGGATTTATAAGTTACAAATGTATCTTTTGAGTGCCCAAGTACGGCCAACATTCAATTAAAATAACCAAAGTATATATTTACCTGGATTTAGGTTCGGCTATAAGAAAAACGTTTCCCAATTTGTGAAAGGCGCACAAAATTGCCGGCAGGCACAACAAGAAGTAGATTTTCTTTTGGTACCTACCGAAATCGCCTAGCAAAGGGATAACGTCGTCGTAGCTCATTGTATTATTGTTAGAACTGAAATAATAAATTGGATAATATATATATGGGTGTCTATAGTATAGTCAAGACAGGATATAGTCAATTTGTTGTAACAATTATATTTACTTACTTGTATGATTATTTAGTACAGCTGAAATAAAACAAAGATGTTATATTCTATTTTTGAAGGATAAAAATTAAATCTAGGACAAAAACACAAATTATTTAAAAATGTATTGGGTGATCTTAAGAGAATTTAATTGGCTAAATCTAATTACATTGAGAGGCAAAAAACTGTCTCTGTGTTATTGGCAAAAATTCAATTTTGAAGCTTCTTAGGTACAAAATTGTTGAAACTAAATTGAAATCTTAGGTTTGTAGAGAACTTAATTGGCTTTAATTAGAGCCTGATTACATCGAAATCGGATGAAAATTGAAGGAGCTGTGAGCTAAAAACTGTCTCAGTGTCATTTTTCACTTCAGAGTTACTCATTCAAAACTTCAAATGCATTCTCTTACACTTTATTTTTTTTCTGGAAAACTATCCAAGGGAAAATTATGAAATTTTCAAGAGAGAAGGAGGAGAGTTATGAGCTCATTATAATAATATTTCAAACTTTTCCAGTGGAAAATAACCACATGGGAAATCAACTTGCAAAATCCAAATATAAGCAAAAATGCATTCTCCTATACATACTATTTTTTTTCTAGAAAACTATCCAAAGGAAAATTATGAAATTTTCAGGAGAGAAAGAGGATAATTAGGAACTCATCATACTAAAATTTCAAACTTTTCCAGTGAAAAATAACGACATAGGAAATCAATGAAAATCAACCTGCAAAATCCAAATTAAGCATAATGCATTCTCTTACACTTTTTTTTTTCTAGAAAACTATCCAAGGGAAAATTATGAAATTTTCAGGAAAGCAAGAGGAAAATTAGGAGTTTATCATACTAAAATTTCAAACATTTCCAGTGGAAAATAACCAAATGGGAAATCAACTTGCAAAATCCAAATTAAGCAAAAATGCATTCTCCTATACATACTATTATTTCTCTGGAAAACTATCCAAGGGAAAATTATGAAATTTTCAGGAGAGAAAGAGGACAATTAGAAGCTCATCATACTAAAATTTCAAACTTTTCTAGTGGAAAATAACCACATGGAAAATCAACTTGCAAAATTCAAATATGAGCAAAAATGCATTCTCCTATACATACTATTTTTTTTCTAGAAAACTATCCAAGGGAACATTATGAAATTTTCAGGAAAGAAAGAGGAAAATTAGGAGTTTATCATACTAAAATTTCAAACATTTCCAGTGGAAAATAACCACATGGGAAATCAATGAAAATCAACTTGCAAAATCCAAATATAAGCAAAAATGCATTCTTTTATACATACTATTTTTTTTCTGGAAAACTATCCAAGGGAAAATTATGAAATTTTCAGGAAAGAAAGAGGAAAATTAGGAGTTTATCATACTAAAATTTCAAACTTTTCCAATGGAAAATAACCACATGGGAAATCAACTTGCAAAATCCAAATTAAGCAGAAATGCATTCTCTTACATTTTATTTTTTTTCTGGAAAACTATCCAAGGGAAAATTATGAAATTTTCAGGAAAGAAAGAGGACAATTAGGAGCTCATCATACTAAAATTTCAAACTTTTCCAGTGAAAAATAACGACATAGGAAATCAATGAAAATTAACCTGCAAAATCCAAATTAAGCATAATGCATTCTCTTACACTTTATTTTCTTTCTGGAAAACTATTCAAGGGAAAATTATGAAATTTTCAGGAGAGAAAGAGAACAATTAGAGGCTTATCATACTAAAATTTCAAACTTTTCTAGTGGAAAATAACCATATGGGAAATCAACTTGCAAAATCCAAATATAAGCAAAAATGCATTCTTTTATACATACTATTTTTTTTCTGGAAAACTATCCAAGGGAAAATTATGAAATTTCCAGGAAAGAAAGAGGAAAATTAGGAGTTTATCATACTAAAATTTCAAACATTTCCAGTGGAAAATAACCACATGGGAAATCAATGAAAATCAACTTGCAAAATCCAAATATAAGCAAAAATGCATTCTTTTATACATACTATTTTTTTTCTGGAAAACTATACAAGGGAAAATTATGAAATTTCCAGGAAAGAAAGAGGAAAATTAGGAGTTTATCATACTAAAATTTCAAACATTTCCAGTGGAAAATAACCACATAGGAAATCAATGAAAATCAACTTGCAAAATCCAAATATAAGCAAAAATGCATTCTTTTATACATACTATTTTTTTTCTGGAAAACTATATAAGGGAAAATTATGAAATTTTCAGGAAAGAAAGAGGACAATTAGGAGCTCATCATACTAAAATTTCAAACTTTTCCAGTGAAAAATAACGACATAGGAAATCAATGAAAATTAACCTGCAAAATCCAAATTAAGTATAATGCATTCTCTTACACTTTATTTTTTTCCTGGAAAATTATTCAAGGGAAAGCTCTGAAATTTTCAGGAGAGAATTAGAAGCTCATCATACTTAAATTTCAAACTTTTCTAGTGGAAAATAACCATATGGGAAATCAACTTGCATAATTCAAATATAAGCAAAAATGCATTCTCTTATACATACTATTATTTCTCTGGAAAACTATCCAAGGGAAAATTATGAAATTTTCAGAAAAGAAAGAGCAAAATTGAAATTTCAAACTTTTCCAGTAACGATATGGGATATCAATGCAAATCAACTTGCAAAATCCAAATTTGGAAATGCTTTTTGGAAATGGAGGGTCTCAGGAGGGTGAGACATTTTTCAACTGGCCTACTTGTTATCCTTGACCTAAACTCCATGGAACACTTATATAGGACATGTTACAAGGAAGGGTAAAGGTTCAAACAAAACTTTACAGCAAAAATCAACCAAAAAAAAAAGAGATTGCAAATCTAAAAAACTGAGATCCTAGGTAAAATGAAAACATGTAGATCCAGAATCAACTAAAAACGAAGATTAGAACTTGAAAAGATACATTTTTAGTCTGAGAATTAAAGAAAAATTGAATTATTACAATTTAAGAAAAGAGAAAATTTAAAACAAAAATCAACTGGAAAGAAAGAAAATTTAGAAAAAGATAAACATTCAAAGCAAAAATAACTGGACTATTTATTCAGAGGTGATCAAGAGCCAGTAATAGTTTAAATTTTGAATATTGCAGACTTTTGATTCATTGGACAATTTTTCTAAAGGCAATTAGGGACTCAATAGCCTAAGTTGTTATAATGTCTATTCTAGTTATCAATTAGTCCAATTTTTTAATTATAATGGACTATTGATTCAGTGATAATATTTCACTAAGGGCCAAATTATGGACCAACTGGTAAATGTCTGGTTGTTACCTAGCAGGTAGGTACTTTTTATTATCTATTGTATGGAAAGTATTTGCTTGGTAACAACCAGTTGGTCCATAATTTGGCCCTAAAAGATAAACTGAAATAGCAAGTGCCACTTTTCAAAGCTAGATTTATCTATATCTACTGTTATTTAACTGGAAGTTGAAGCTAGTTTTATCTACTAGGTATTATTTAATTGGAAGATAAACATTCTGTTAAAAGTTAATTTTGAATAATTGAGAATGCAATATTAACTTTAAACCTTCAGTTAATTTAACACTTGAATAGATGTAAATAATTAGTTTCTTGGATAAAATTTAACTAAAGGATAAACTGACTGTTAAATAGCAAGTCTATATTTATTATTTTTGAAGCACTTCTTGACTTAAAGGGTAAGCAAAAGATTCTATTAGTAAATAACAACTTACCTATTTTTCTTACAAATGTTATTTGATTTTTGATAACCCTTTATTTAATATTTTTCAATCGCATTTTGTTATCATTCATTATATAAATAAATAAGTATATAACAAATGAGAAATACAAAATAATATAAATTTTTAAAAATGTATAATTGGTTGCCTACCAAACGATGACCCACTTACTCTGCCATGTTGTCAAAATCAAAAAAAGGGCCCGATTTTCGCCCTTATGTTCACTTGCAATAAGATCATCTTTCAAAGTGTGTTGTTATTGATTTCAATCAAAGGGCCAAAGGGGTGGATTATCAAAGATTCAATATACATAAGAACTATGTTAGCTGGAAATTGTTGCTAAAAGGTAAGTCAAATTAAAAAAATCCTATACAGTGTCTTACCTTTTCATATAAGTATAGGTTCTTATGATGTCAGCTGCTGGGACCCCGTCTACAGATCCTTGGGTCATAGTGGCTCGAGAAAGGGCCCGTTACGAAGAACAGTTCAAGTCCCTCAAACCTAATAATGGGATTATTACTGGGGATCAGGCTAAAGGGTTCTTTTTCCAGAGCCAGTTACCACCTCTGGTTTTGGCACAGATATGGTAAGAATCAATAGGCAATTGGGGTTTTAATATACAAATTTTTAAACAAGGATCATATTATATAGTACTTCAATAATAACAGGGTTTTGATAAGACTTCTTCAAAATTACTCTAAAAGACTTGAATAAAACTATACAGTACCTACTTTAACAGGACCACACAGTACTTCAACAGGACTATACAGTATTCAGTATTTCAACAGGACTATACAGTAACTACTTCAACAGGACCCTATAAAACTATGTAGTGTTATACAAAAATCTTTTCGCTTGGCTCCCATTTGAACTAGGTACATATCACTCGACATATCCTTGCCTTGAATATTATTTCTATTTGTTTCTTGCCCATGTTTAATGGTTGTTTTTTACTCAAGTGTTTCCATATAGCTTTAAATTCTTTATCAATTTTTCAGCATGTTTTATACAAAAAAAACTATAATGTTTAATCATACAACAGGCTACCCAAGAAGAAACGTAAACTAACTTAACTATATATATTAACTAACTATATTTAACAGGATTGCTCAAGGTGTACGTTCGCCAATTCTCGATTTGATAGCTGGTCTTCGAGTGACGTCACCAATGTTCGCAGCTGATGGTAATGACGTCACCCGCAGACCTCGATAGATTGCTTGCGATTCAGGCTGTACTTGTCTCACTGGAATTCTACGAAATCCCACAGAATCCTACTGAAATCTCACATGCTTATACATTATAATTTCAACACTTCATTCATTTTCATTTCAAATTTGGTATTCTCACATACATTTCAATGCCCAAAGCGAATGGTGATAGTAAAAAAAGTCGTAACAGTTCTGAAAAAGTAGTTTCCATAAGAGGGTAGAGGATTGTTACTCACAATATTCACAAAACAAAAAAGCATCTTAGGGTATTTAATCATAGGAACTTTTCATATGTAGTATCACCCCTCAAAGTCCAGTACTCTATTGTTTTTACACCCTGTATGTGTCTAGGATATCTAACATCCAAATTTCGCCTGTTATAACTATGACTAATATGGTCTGAAAACAGTTCTCTATTTTAAAAATAAAACATTACTTTTTTAATTAAATGTATACAGTGTAAACCAGTCATTATACTTAACTCCCGAGGGGTGGTTAACTCCTTAAAATATATACACAGATTTTAAATCTTCATTGATTTTGTAGGATTTTGAGAATTTTGAAAATCTTCACATGATTTTAAAAGATTTTAGGTGATTTTGGAGCACTTTAGGGAAGTTAGAAGGGGGAAGAGATCTTAAAGGATTTTTGGAAATGTTAAAAAATTTTAGGTACCTACCTACTTACTTGTGACAAAAATAGCTATAATAGGAATTTTATAAGATTTTGCTGGATTTTTTTTTGTAAGATTTTGTTAGATTTTTAAAGATTTTGAAGATTTTCAAGGAATTAAAAATCCTGAAGGATATTTAGAAATTTTAACGGATTTTTGAGGATTCCAAAGGATTTTTTGAAATTTGGAAGGAACTCTTTTTTAGGCATTTTTAATGATTTTATAAGATTTTGTCGGATTTTTTTTTATTCTTATAAAATTTTGTATGATTTTGTGAAATTTGATGTGACTTCAAGTGATTTTAAAGGGATTTTGTGAAGTTTCTTTAAATTTTTAAAGAGGGATTTTTGTATTTTACAAGTTTTTCTGGACTTGTACACAGATTTTGATCAATCAACCATAGGTACTCCGAGATTTAGTTAACTCTATAAAAAAAATGAACACATATTTTAAGTAAATCTTAATTGATTTTGTCGGATTTTGGAAATTTTGAAAATCTTTACACGATTTTACAGGAGTTCAGGAGATTTAAGATTTTCAAAATTCTAGGTGATTCTGATGGAGCATTTTATGGGTTTTTGAAAAGTTTTTAAAAATCCTAAATTCAAATGACAAATTTGAATGGAAAAACTGAAATTCCTAGACATTTAATTATAGGATTTCATAATACTTCTATGGAATTCCACCATAAAATTCAGTGGAATTTTTGAGCAAAAATTCTTCAGCATTCCACTAAAATTTCAAGTTATTTCATGGGAATTTTGCGAAAATTTTTGTTAATTTCATAGCAATTCCTTAAAATTTCACTAAAAGATTTTATGGAATTCCTCGAAATTCCATTCAAATACCTAACAGAAAATCCTAGAAATTTTACCATAAGATTTCATAATACTTTTCCGAATTTCACCATAAGATTCCATGAAATTTCACCATAAAATTAAATGGAATTCTTGCACAAAAATTCCTCGGAGTTATAGTAAAAGATTTCATGAATTTTTTTTGGAATTCCACTAAAATTTTATGTAATTCGACCGAAATTACTCAGAATTTCACTAAAATTTAATTCAATTCTTTGGAATTCCGCCAAAATTTCTCGTGGTTCCGTGGAAATTCCACGGATTCTGTTTAATTCCAAGGGAATCCTTTGGATTCCATGTAATTTCACTGAAATTCCACAAAAATATTTCAAGATGTATGTAATTCGACGAGAATTCCTTGGAATTTTACTTGACACTTCATCGAAATTTTATGTAAGTCAACACAAAAAAGTGAAATTATATGTATATAATTTGATAGAAATTCTGCAAATATTCCATATATTATTATTATTTTTTTTTCGAAATTCTACTGAAATTCTCCAAAATTCAATAGAAATTCCAAATTCTGTATTTTTTTTTAAAACTGAAACTTCCCGAAACTTCACCGCTGCTTGGAATTCTACAAAATTTTCATAAAATTTTTCGAAATTTCACTGATAATTCCTATAAGTAATTTCTTTGGAATTTCACTAAAATTTTATGAGAATTTTTTGAAATTTCACGTTATTAGTCGAATATTTCTCGAAATTCCAATGAAACTTCAAATTTTTTTTTTTAAAATTTCATTTATTTCCATAAGAATTTTTCGGAGTTTCACCGAAATTCTCTTTCAATAGTCAGGAATTTTTGGGAATATTAATGAAACTTCAAGTAATTTATTGAAAATTGACCGCAATTCCTCCGAAATATATTGAAATTTCATATCATCACATGGGAATTTTTCCTTTCACCGAAATTGTAAGTTTTAAGCAGGAAATTCCACTTGTGAAATTTTCTCTAATTTTACTAAAATTAAGTAATTCGATAAAAATTCCTTTCACTAAAATGTCATGTTTTTAACTGGGAATAAAAATAAAACTTTATGTAATTAATTACATTTGGATTTTTTGGAATTTCACTGGAATTCTTTATGAAACGATAAGAGTTGTTCAAAATTCCACTTAAATTTCATAATTCTCTGACAATTCTTTGGAATTCTTACAATTGCATTGGAGCTCCATATAATTCGACATAAATTCCTCGCAATTCATGTGATTTTTTAAAACTATTTTAAAAATTCTTTATGTAATTTAACGAGCATTGAAATTTCATGTTGAGAATTTCGGTGTAATTCAATGTAATTGTTTAGAATTCCTCCATGCAACTTATTCAGGATTTCATGTAATTCGATCGAAATTCCACTGAAATTTCATGTAATTTCTCGAAATTTCATGTAATTTGCGAGGAAGAAAATTTTATGAAATTCTTCAAAATTCCATTCAAGTGATAAATTTGAATGGAAAAACGTAAATTCGTAGACATTTTAACTATAGGATTTCATAATACTTTTCCGAATTTCATCATAAGATTCTATGGAATTCCACCATAAAATTTAATGAAATTATTGCACAAAAATTCCTCGGAATTACATTGAGATTTCATGAAATTCTTCGGAATTCCATTAAAATTTCAAGTTATTCGTGAAAATTTTAGTTAATTTCATAGAAATTTCTTAGAATTTCACCAGAAGATTTTAGGGAATTCCTTGAAATTCCATTCAAATGGTAAATTTGAATGGAATTCCTAAAAATTTTACTATAAGATTTTATAATATTTTTTCCAAATTTCATCATGATTTCATGAAATTCCACAATAAAATTTAATGGAATTCTTGAACAAAAATTCCTCGGAATTACACTATGAAATTTCATGAAATTCTTCGGAATTCCATTAAAATTTCAAGTTATTCCATGGGAATTCCTCGAAAAATTCCTTAGAAATTCCTTAACATTTCACTAGAAGATTTTATGGAATTCTTGAACACATTTTTTTCGGAATACAGTATAGGATTTCATGAAATTCCTCGGAATTCCACTAAAATTTCAATTTCAAAATTCCATATTTTTTTTTTTTTAACTTTACTGAAATTCCCCAAAATTTCATCAATGAAATATCTTGGAATTTCACAAAATTTTCATAAAATTCTTCGGAATTTCATTGACATATCATGTAATTTTTTAAAAATTCCTCGGAATTCACTAAAATTTTATGAGAATATTTTGAAATTCCATGTTCACAGCCAAAGATTTCTCGGAAGTTCAATGAAACTTCAAGGAATTTTTCAAAATTTCACTGAAATTCTCTCAGGAATTTCTGGGAATATTAATGAAACTTCAAGTAATTTCTTGAAAATTCACCGAAATATATTGAAATTTCATGTCATTACATGGGAATATCACTGAAATTCCATGTTTTTAGCCGGAAATTCCTCGGCATTCCACTTGTGGAATTTTCTGGAATTTTATTCAAATTCAGTAAAAATTGAAATTTTATGTTGGGAATTTCGCTGCAAGTTCATATAATTGTTTAGAATTCTTTCATGCGTTTCATTCAGAATTGTAATTCGATCGAAATTTCACTGAAATTTCATGTAGTTTGAGAGCAACTAAAATTTAATATGAATTCCTTTTTCAGAATAACATAATTTTACAGAAATTCCTCGAAATTTCACTAAATTATGGAATTCTGAAGGACTTCAACAGATTTCTAGGGATTCCAAAGAATTTTTGGGAATTTCAAAGAAATTTTTTTTTTTTAGGAATGATAATGATTTTATGAGATTTTGTAGGATTTTTTTTGGTTTTAATGCAATTTTGTTAGATTTTGTAGGATTTTGTTAAATTTTTAAGGATTTCAAAGATTTTTAGGGATTTTGAGTAAATTTTATGAGATTTTCTGGGATTTTGACCAACTTGTACAAGGATTTTGACCAGTTAACCACCCCTCGTTAAATCCCTACAACTCTGTAAATATTTCATTCTTTTAATGATTAAACTACACATTTCTGAGCCAGAAACAGTTCAGATTTGAATTATTTCCGGCTAGAACATTTTTCTGGCCAAAACTTTGATTATTACAGGTGCTTGAATTCCAAGAGCCGGGAATAGTTCAAATTTTGACCATTACTGGCTCTCGAATCACTAAGAAATGTTTCCAAAGGAAATCAAGAGCTGAGAAAGGGGAAAAATTCTCATTTTGATTATCACAGCGACTTGAAACTTACAGGATTTATAAAATAAAGACTGGTTTATAAGAAAAAATATATCTGAAGTGGATTTTCAGCCCAGAAGCAAAATTAGGAATTTTCTTTAGAGGAAGTTTTAATTCATAATTTGCTGCTTCATACGATTTTATTTCTGAAACTATAGAGTTGAAATTTTCAGGGATTGTATTCCTCTACCGAAATAAGAATTGCTGAAAATTTCAGCTTTCTATCTACAATAAAAGAAAAGTTATTAAGGCTGAAATAACTATCAAAATAATGTTTTAGGGCCCTAGCCGACACCGACGCAGACGGAAGAATGGACGTCAACGAGTTCTCAATCGCCTGCAAACTGATCAACCTAAAACTGAGAGGCTTCGAAATACCCAAAGGCCTCCCGCCTTCTTTGCTGGCCTCTTTAAAAATCCACTCTGCCTCTACACCTCCAGCTATACCACCTCTACCAATCAACCATCAACCTCCTGCTAGACCTGAACCACCCAAGGTAATCTAGTCTATGAATTTTTCAATTGCTGATGATAATTTCAACAGGTTGCTCCAATAACATCTCTACCACCAAAACCAGCCTTCACAACCCCCACTCAACCAGTACGACCGATACAACCAATCCAACAACCGCTATTGCCAGGCTTGGTACAGCCCCCCACTGGAATAGTACAGCCTGTCAACATGATGGGAGTGGCAGTATCCAGTGCTGGACCCATAATACCTACAAATGTGGTCCCACCAATGCCTACTAATTTACCATCTGACATGCCATCGTTGATTGCAAGCCACATAGGAGCTCCAGTATCACCTGTAGGTTCAGCTGGATCAATTGATTCCGAATGGGCCATCCCTCAACAAACCAAGTTGAAATATACTCAAATGTTTAATACAATGGATAGAACTAGGAATGGGTATTTGTCTGGAGCTCAAGCTAGGAATGTTATGGTGCAAACTAAGTTGGCCCAAGGGATTTTAGCTAAAGTTTGGGCTCTTTCGGATATGGATTCGGATGGTCGGCTGGGGTGTGAGGAGTTTGTATTGGCAATGCATTTGTGTGAAACTATTGCGGCAGGTGCGCCCCTGCCTGTTAAGTTGGCACCTGAATTGATTCCGCCTTCGTTTAGAAGGACTGCTAGGACAGCTTCGATTTCTAGTCAAGGCAGTGCCGTGCCTGTTGATCAAGATCCAGCTTCAACTTTGCTTCAATGTAAGAATTGTTTTATTTTTTTACTTAAATTTCAATTGTCTCTGAATGTCGTTTCTTGGAAATTTGAGTTTTTCCAAAATGACATATAGACACACATTTTGACTCATAACTTTGTTAATTTCAATCTGATTTCATTGTAATTAAGCTTGAAATGAAGCCAATGAAATCCTTTAAAAATTTCTCCTGTGTATTTTCGATGCAACTCCAATAATTTCGCAGCTGCAAAGCTTTAAAGAATTTGTTTGATTTCTAGCTTCATTTGAAGATAAACGCAAAGAAAACTACGAAAAAGGCCAAGCCGAACTGGAACGACGCAGGAAAACACTCATGGACCAACAAAGAAAAGAGCGCGAAGAAATCGAAAGAAAAGAGCGAGAAGAACAAGACCGTAAAGAAAAAGCTAGACAAGAAGCTGAAAGAAAACGCCTTGAAGAGTTGGAAAAACTAATGCGCGACCAACAAGAAAAGGAAAAACTTATGGAAGAAGAACGCAAAAGACAAGCGGAGCAACGCGAAGCCGCCCGGCGAGAAATGGAAAGACAGCGCCAACTAGAATGGGAAAAACAACGCTTGCAAGAACTCCAACAACAAAGACACCGCGAACAAGAAACCGTACTAAAACTAAAAGCCAAAAACCAAAGCTTAACAATCGAACTTTCAACCTTAAACGATCAAGTCAAAGACTTGTCTCAAAAAATTTGCGATACCAGAATAGGAGTTTCCAACGTAAAATCAACCATCGACGGTATGCGCAGTACTAGGGATGTTCAAATGCAAGAAATGTCTCAATTGAAGGCAAAATTAAAAGACCAAAACGCCAAATTGTTGGCTCTAAGTCAAGAGAAAATCAAACTTGAAGCTAAAAATAAAATCAACACTCATCAAGATTCAGCTGAGCAATCAAAGGCCTTCGAAAACAAAGAAATCACCATTAAAAATCTCAAAGAAAAAGTCTTGGACATTCAAACCCAAATCAATTCAAAACTTTCAGACATTGAAAATAACAATAGTCAATTAAACGAGTTGAAAAGCCACATGACTTTGCTGATTTCCAATTGTGAAGGCCTGTATACAAGATACGAAGAAAAACGTAATAAGGTTTTGGAAATGAAAAACAAACCAGTTGATGCCTGGAAATCAAATGAGGCATGGGGTGACGATAATAATTGGAACAATACTGTTCCGGCTGATATTGAAAATATACCCGGAGTACATAAATATAGAGCAATTTATGAATTCAGTGCAAGAAATAATGATGAGATTTCTTTTCAACCTGGAGATATTATACATGTAAGTATTTAGATGTGTATGTTGAAAAAAATTATTATTGTTTGTATATAGGTACCAGAACAGCAAACAGGAGAACCTGGTTGGTTGGCGGGAGAAATTGGAGGACACACTGGATGGTTCCCCGAGTCTTATGTGGAACCAGTTGATGGTGTTGGTATAAAAGGTGCTACTGTGGAAGTGCAAGAAGTTGAACCAATAAAATTAGAGTAAGAATGGTTTTGGCTGAAATTGAAATGATTTTATTGGTTGTGTTTTTTTTTTAGGGCAGCAAATGAAGTTCAAGAGAGTTTGGTGGTTGCCGCTGTTGTACCAGAACCTTTAGATTCAGGTAAATTTGTTTGGAAGTTGGATGGTAATTTTTCAACTTGTACAACAGATAAATAGAAACTTGAGAAATTAAGCCTCAAAATATCAATATATTTTTTAGTTTCGCCCAATTTACCAATGGAAGATGACTCGGCCGAATACTACATAGCAAACTACCCCTATCAATCGCAAGAGCCTGGAGATTTAACATTTAACGCCGGAGATATGATTGCTGTAATCAAAAAAGACGGTGATTGGTGGACTGGAAAGCTAAATGACATTTCTGGAATTTTCCCTAGCAATTATGTGCAAAAAGTAGATGTAAGTTGTGTTTTTGTAGCTCTGTTCCAACAGGCATGAGAACCATACAACATTCAACTTATTGAAAAATGGGTGGGCAATTGGTTCTCATGTTTGTTGGAACAGAACTTATGTTTTTTTTTTTTGTGAATTAATATTGTTTTCTTTTTTCAATAGAGTGCCGCTAATGTAATCACTCAAGCTCCAGTAGAAAATTCTGGAGTCAGTGCCGCAGCTATAACATCAGCATTGGAAAGCTACAATCAAATAGACAACGAAGTCTCATTGATAAACGAAAATAAATTTATGGAAAAATTCGATGCAGCTTCTATGGCTTCTAATGCTCAAGTAATTTATGTTTTTTCCTATACACAATCAAACCTCTTTGCATGCAAAAAGTTTCAAATTTTTACCTCTACTAATTTTTCAGGAAAACTGTAAAATGTGTGAGACTGTATTTTCAATTAATTCATATATTGTAGAGTTATTACCAAAATTCTTCATGTTGTTATTTTTCACTGGAAAAATTTGAAATTTTGGAAAAATGAGCTCCTAACCTTCCTCTTCACATGCAAAAAGTTTCAAATTTTTCTCTTTACTAGTTTTCCAAGAAAATTTTGCAATGTTTGAGACTGCATTTTCAATTAATTCAGTTTTTGTAGGTTGATTTTCAGGTTTCTCCATATTGTTATTTTCCACTGGAAAAATTTGAAATTTTGGGAAAATGAGCTCCTAACCTTCCTCTTCACATGCAAAAAGTTTCAAATTTTTCTCTTTACTAGTTTTCCAAGAAAATTTTGCAATGTGTGAGACTGCATTTTCAATTAATTCAGTTTTTGTAGGTTGATTTTCAGGTTTCTCCATATTGTTATTTTCCACTAGAAAAATTTGAAATTTTGGGAAAATGAGCTCCTAACCTTCCTCTTCACATGCAAAAAGTTTCAAATTTTTCTCTTTACTAGTTTTCCAAGAAAATTTTGCAATGTTTGAGACTGCATTTTCAATTAATTCAGTTTTTGTAGGTTGATTTTCAGGTTTCTCCATATTGTTATTTTCCACTGGAAAAATTTGAAATTTTGGGAAAATGAGCTCCTAACCTTCCTCTTCACATGCAAAAAGTTTCAAATTTTTCTCTTTACTAGTTTTCCAAGAAAATTTTGCAATGTGTGAGACTGCATTTTCAATTATTTCAGTTTTTGTAGGTTGATTTTCAAGTTTCTCCATATTGTTATTTTCCACTGGAAAAATTTGAAATTTTGGGAAAATGAGCTCCTAACCTTCCTCTTCACATGCAAAAAGTTTCAAATTTTTCTCTTTACTAGTTTTCCAAGAAAATTTTGCAATGTGTGAGACTGCATTTTCAATTATTTCAGTTTTTGTAGGTTGATTTTCAAGTTTCTCCATATTGTTATTTTCCACTGGAAAAATTTGAAATTTTGGGAAAATGAGCTCCTAACCTTCCTCTTCACATGCAAAAAGTTTCAAATTTTTCTCTTTACTAGTTTTCCAAGAAAATTTTGCAATGTGTGAGACTTCATTTTCAATTAATTCAGTTTTTGTAGGTTGATTTTCAGGTTTCTCCATATTGTTATTTTCCACTGGAAAAATTTGAAATTTTGGGAAAATGAGCTCCTAACCTTCCTCTTCACATGCAAAAAGTTTGAAATTTTTCTCTTTACTAGTTTTCCAAGATAATTTTGCAATGTGTGAGACTTCATTTTCAATTAATTCAGTTTTTGTAGGTTGATTTTCAGGTTTCTCCATATTGTTATTTTCCACTGGAAAAAATTTGAAATTTTGGGAAAATGAGCTCCTAACCTTCCTCTTCACATGCAAAAAGTTTCAAATTTTTCTCTTTACTAGTTTTCCAAGAAAATTTTGCAATGTGTGAGACTTAATTTTCAATTAATTCAGTTTTTGTAGGTTGATTTTCAGGTTTCTCCATATTGTTATTTTCCACTGGAAAAAATTTGAAATTTTGGGAAAATGAGCTCCTAACCTTCCTCTTCACATGCAAAAAGTTTCAAATTTTTCTCTTTACTAGTTTTCCAAGAAAATTTTGCAATGTGTGAGACTTCATTTTCAATTAATTCAGTTTTTGTAGGTTGATTTTCAGGTTTCTCCATATTGTTATTTTCCACTGGAAAAATTTGAAATTTTGGGAAAATGAGCTCCTAACCTTCCTCTTCACATGCAAAAAGTTTCAAATTTTTCTCTTTACTAGTTTTCTAAGAAAATTTTGCAATGTGTGAGACTGCATTTTCAATTAATTCAGTTTTTGTAGGTTGATTTTCAGGTTTCTCCATATTGTTATTTTCCACTGGAAAAAATTTGAAATTTTGGGAAAATGAGCTCCTAACCTTCCTCTTCACATGCAAAAAGTTTCAAATTTTTCTCTTTACTAGTTTTCCAAGAAAATTTTGCAATGTGTGAGACTTAATTTTCAATTAATTCAGTTTTTGTAGGTTGATTTTCAGGTTTCTCCATATTGTTATTTTCCACTGGAAAAATTTGAAATTTTGGGAAAATGAGCTCCTAACCTTCCTCTTCACATGCAAAAAGTTTCAAATTTTTCTCTTTACTAGTTTTCTAAGAAAATTTTGCAATGTGTGAGACTGCATTTTCAATTAATTCAGTTTTTGTAGGTTGATTTTCAGGTTTCTCCATATTGTTATTTTCCACTGGAAAAAATTTGAAATTTTGGGGAAAATGAGCTCCTAACCTTCCTCTTCACATGCAAAAAAGTTTCAAATTTTTCTCTTTACTAGTTTTCTAAGAAAATTTTGCAATGTGTGAGACTGCATTTTCAATTAATTCAGTTTTTGTAGGTTGATTTTCAGGTTTCTCCATATTGTTATTTTCCACTGGAAAAATTTGAAATTTTGGGAAAATGAGCTCTTAACCTTCTTCTTTATATGAAAAAAGTTTCAAATTTTTCTTTTTATTAGTTTTCCAAGAAAATGTGTGAAACTGTATTTTCAATTAATTCAGTTTTTGTAGGTTGATTTTCAGGTTTCTCCATATTGTTATTTTCCACTGGAAAAATTTGAAATTTTGGGAAAATGAGCTCCTAACCTTCCTCTTCACATGCAAAAAGTTTCAAATTTTTCTCTTTACTAGTTTTCCAAGAAAATTTTGCAATGTGTGAGACTGCATTTTCAATTATTTCAGTTTTTGTAGGTTGATTTTCAAGTTTCTCCATATTGTTATTTTCCACTGGAAAAATTTGAAATTTTGGGAAAATGAGCTCCTAACCTTCCTCTTCACATGCAAAAAGTTTCAAATTTTTCTCTTTACTAGTTTTCTAAGAAAATTTTGCAATGTGTGAGACTGCATTTTCAATTAATTCAGTTTTTGTAGGTTGATTTTCAGGTTTCTCCATATTGTTATTTTCCACTGGAAAAATTTGAAATTTTGGGAAAATGAGCTCCTAACCTTCCTCTTCACATGCAAAAAGTTTCAAATTTTTCTCTTTACTAGTTTTCTAAGAAAATTTTGCAATGTGTGAGACTGCATTTTCAATTAATTCAGTTTTTGTAGGTTGATTTTCAGGTTTCTCCATATTGTTATTTTCCACTGGAAAAAAATTTGAAATTTTGGGAAAATGAGCTCCTAACCTTCCTCTTCACATGCAAAAAAGTTTCAAATTTTTCTCTTTACTAGTTTTCCAAGAAAATTTTGCAATGTGTGAGACTTAATTTTCAATTAATTCAGTTTTTGTAGGTTGATTTTCAGGTTTCTCCATATTGTTATTTTCCACTGGAAAAATTTGAAATTTTGGGAAAATGAGCTCCTAACCTTCCTCTTCACATGCAAAAAGTTTCAAATTTTTCTCTTTACTAGTTTTCTAAGAAAATTTTGCAATGTGTGAGACTGCATTTTCAATTAATTCAGTTTTTGTAGGTTGATTTTCAGGTTTCTCCATATTGTTATTTTCCACTGGAAAAAATTTGAAATTTTGGGAAAATGAGCTCCTAACCTTCCTCTTCACATGCAAAAAGTTTCAAATTTTTCTCTTTACTAGTTTTCCAAGAAAATTTTGCAATGTGTGAGACTTAATTTTCAATTAATTCAGTTTTTGTAGGTTGATTTTCAGGTTTCTCCATATTGTTATTTTCCACTGGAAAAATTTGAAATTTTGGGAAAATGAGCTCCTAACCTTCCTCTTCACATGCAAAAAGTTTCAAATTTTTCTCTTTACTAGTTTTCTAAGAAAATTTTGCAATGTGTGAGACTGCATTTTCAATTAATTCAGTTTTTGTAGGTTGATTTTCAGGTTTCTCCATATTGTTATTTTCCACTGGAAAAAATTTGAAATTTTGGGAAAATGAGCTCCTAACCTTCCTCTTCACATGCAAAAAGTTTCAAATTTTTCTCTTTACTAGTTTTCTAAGAAAATTTTGCAATGTGTGAGACTGCATTTTCAATTAATTCAGTTTTTGTAGGTTGATTTTCAGGTTTCTCCATATTGTTATTTTCCACTGGAAAAAATTTGAAATTTTGGGAAAATGAGCTCCTAACCTTCCTCTTCACATGCAAAAAGTTTCAAATTTTTCTCTTTACTAGTTTTCTAAGAAAATTTTGCAATGTGTGAGACTTAATTTTCAATTAATTCAGTTTTTGTAGGTTGATTTTCAGGTTTCTCCATATTGTTATTTTCCACTGGAAAAAATTTGAAATTTTGGGAAAATGAGCTCCTAACCTTCCTCTTCACATGCAAAAAGTTTCAAATTTTTCTCTTTACTAGTTTTCCAAGAAAATTTTGCAATGTGTGAGACTTAATTTTCAATTAATTCAGTTTTTGTAGGTTGATTTTCAGGTTTCTCCATATTGTTATTTTCCACTGGAAAAAATTTGAAATTTTGGGAAAATGAGCTCCTAACCTTCCTCTTCACATGCAAAAAGTTTCAAATTTTTCTCTTTACTAGTTTTCTAAGAAAATTTTGCAATGTGTGAGACTGCATTTTCAATTAATTCAGTTTTTGTAGGTTGATTTTCAGGTTTCTCCATATTGTTATTTTCCACTGGAAAAAATTTGAAAATTTTGGGAAAATGAGCTCCTAACCTTCCTCTTCACATGCAAAAAGTTTCAAATTTTTCTCTTTACTAGTTTTCTAAGAAAATTTTGCAATGTGTGAGACTGCATTTTCAATTAATTCAGTTTTTGTAGGTTGATTTTCAGGTTTCTCCATATTGTTATTTTTCCACTGGAAAAAATTTGAAATTTTGGGAAAATGAGCTCCTAACCTTCCTCTTCACATGCAAAAAGTTTCAAATTTTTCTCTTTACTAGTTTTCCAAGAAAATTTTGCAATGTGTGAGACTTAATTTTCAATTAATTCAGTTTTTGTAGGTTGATTTTCAGGTTTCTCCATATTGTTATTTTCCACTGGAAAAATTTGAAATTGTGGGAAAATGAGCTCCTAACCTTCCTCTTCACATGCAAAAAGTTTCAAATTTTTCTCTTTACTAGTTTTCTAAGAAAATTTTGCAATGTGTGAGACTGCATTTTCAATTAATTCAGTTTTTGTAGGTTGATTTTCAGGTTTCTCCATATTGTTATTTTCCACTGGAAAAAATTTGAAATTTTGGGAAAATGAGCTCCTAACCTTCCTCTTCACATGCAAAAAGTTTCAAATTTTTCTCTTTACTAGTTTTCCAAGAAAATTTTGCAATGTGTGAGACTGCATTTTCAATTATTTCAGTTTTTGTAGGTTGATTTTCAAGTTTCTCCATATTGTTATTTTCCACTGGAAAAATTTGAAATTTTGGGAAAATGAGCTCCTAACCTTCCTCTTCACATGCAAAAAGTTTGAAATTTTTCTCTTTACTAGTTTTCCAAGAAAATTTTGCAATGTGTGAGACTGCATTTTCAATTATTTCAGTTTTTGTAGGTTGATTTTCAAGTTTCTCCATATTGTTATTTTCCACTGGAAAAATTTG